GGCGAGACCTCATCTCTACTATAAGTCAAAAAATTAGCCGGGCGTGGTAGCGCATACCGGTAGTTCTGACTACTTGGAAGGCTGAGGTGGAAGGATCGCTTGTGCCCAGCAGTTGACGCTGCGGTAGCCATAAGCATGCCACTGCATTCCAGCCTGACTGACAGAGTGAGACTCCAACTCAAAAAAAAAGAAAGGAAGGAAGGAAGGAAGAAAAGCTATCATATCCTTATGTAGACCTCCTTCTGTTCTAAAATAGCCCCCACAAGAGAATTCTGTGGCATTACTATAAAATTCTCTTGAATAGAAGTCTTACATACACTTAAACAGAAAATACGGTGAACCTATTCACCTCAGATGCAGAGGAGATACAAAAATCATTGTGGTGTGTAATACCTTACAAGTAATTCAGAGGTAAATCTATTTAAAGCGAAACGGTAGTTCTGTATTGTAAGAATAGTGATCACTGCACGAATATGTAAACAAAAGCTGGCAATCTGAATATTTCTTAAAGTATATACACTTCCCAAGAATTTTTCTCAAGTATCAGCAATACTTCCAAGGAAGAAATCAAACTGTATTTTGAACAGCTTTAAGCAATCTTGAAGTCATTTGGGATCTAGATCTATTTCACGAAACTTTATTAGAGTTCATGAGTCAGACTCATATGTTACTCTTTGGCTTATGCTTTGATTTACTAGCATTTGTAGGCTCAATACTTACATACTGATATCATATAAGTCATTCTACAAGGACTGCCCTTGGGCATTTTGGACTACATAGTCCTTCCACTGAAGAGTAATTTCTATTCAGAAAAAAGTAATTTGCTCCTTTCAGTTTCTGCTGGATAGCTCTACATCTATGGGACTGGTAGACATACTATGACCCAAAGCAATTTACAAGGAATTTTATTTATTATCCAACATGAGAAAGTAGAAGAGTTGTGTGCAGTGGCTTATACCTGTGGTCCCAGCATTTTGGGAGGACAACGTGGAAGGACTCCCTGAGCCCAGGATTTAGAGACCAGTCTGGGCAACATAGTGTGACCCTGTCTATATACACAATCAAAAATTTAGCCAGGCATGGTGGCACATGCCTGTAGTTCCTGGAAGGATCACCTGAGCCCAGCAGGTCGAGGCTGTGGTGAGCTGATATCATGCCACTGCACTCCTGCACTCTAGGCTGAGACACTGACTAAAAAAAAAAAAAAAAAAAAAAAGTTGTGATTAAGTTACAAGAAGTCATTATATCCACCTCTTATCTTCTATCAAGACATACCTCCTTCTGTTCCCTTTTCACCCTCTTCTACCTTTAGTTAATTTTGTACCTTTTCTCTTATCCTGGTTTCTATACATTCATTCCCTATTCATTTGTTCAACACATATTTATTGAGTACCTATGATATGGCAGGTACTTTTCTGAGCAATGCAGGTGTAAGGGTGAATAAGAAACAACATTTGCTCTCATAGAGCTTTCTAGCAGGGAAAGAAAACCTTAATAACTAAGTGAATATAAGGTGGTAACAGTATGATGAGTAGCAGGAAGGAAATATTCAATGTGGTAACATAGAAGGTTACAGGTTAGAGGAGAAATAACCTAATTTAGACTCAGTGGCCAGATTGACCTCTCTTAATAAGGTATGACATTTGATCTGAGATCTAAGAAGAGAATGACCACTAGCAAGACTTTCAAAGAAGAGAAAAGATATCAAGGCAAAGGGAACAGCAAATGCAAAGGGCCAAGATTTAGGAAAGAAGCTAGTTTGTTTGAGGAACTAAAAGGAGGCTAATTAACATACTAAGAGACACTTTGGGTGGGAGAGGGAGTGGTAGGTGGGGCAAGAAGCTAAGAGATGACACCAGATTGCACAGGAACTTAGAGTTATGGCAGAGAATATGATTGCCTATCTAACTGCTATAAACTCTTCCTCCTTGCTAACAGAACCCCAGTGTTGTTTGGGTGGCAATGCACACAGTTACAAGGAATGAATTATAATTTATTTAAGGGGGAAGTCACTAGAAGCTTTTGAGAGGGCCAGTACCTTGCTAAACTATGGTGTGGCCATGTGCTCTTTGAGCTATGGCCAGGTCATGTTTCCTGGCTTTGGTCCCCTCCACTACCTTGGGGAGATGAATTCTCTCTCTAATTTACTTTCTAAATAAACTATATTTTCCAATCTAAAAAACAGAGAAGCTTTTGAGAAATATTTTTATTCCTAATATGAAATTCACAAGTGAATAAGGCTGTTTTTGCCTACTTCTTTCCCTTTCTGCCCTAGCTGCTGTCATGTTTTGGTGTGATGTCATCCTGCAACCATGACATAACAAGACTGAAGATGAAACTCAACAAATTTAGAATGGTGGAGATGAGGGATAGAAGTCTGCATCATTGATGATATTGGCAAACTGCGAGGCTTATCCTGAGACCATTTAGCTTAATCCTTTTTTGTTAAGTAGACCAAAAATGTTCTTATGATTTAGGCATCTTTTTGCTGGGGTTTCAGTTATTTGCACTGAAAGCATATAAATTGATACAGTGGGGTGTGACATGATCTAATTTATATATGTTTAAAAACTTTCCTCCCCAGCCTTACACACTAGAGGTAATCTTTTAACAGTTACTTATTACCCCTCAGAAATGTTATAAAACATTCCTAAAAAAAAAAAAAATACTGCATGAAGAGATTGTAAGGAGCAAGAGTAAAACAGAACATGGAAAATTACTATTAAATACTACAGAGGTCCTGAGGAGGAATCATAGTGTCCTGGTCTAGGAAGGAAGCAGTAAAGCTAGAGAGAAGTAGATAGATTCAAGATGTATTTGGGGGTGAAAACAACAGGAACTTGCTATTGGTGTGAGAGGCAAAGGATTGCAAGGAATTAAAGCTGAACTTTAGGTTTTGGACTTGATGATGGTATCACTTATTCACATGGAGAAAAGAGAAGAAAGAAGTTTGGGGAAGGGAGTGAGATCAAGGGTTCTTTTTGGATATGTTGAATTAAAGATGTGCATAAGCCATTCAAAAAGAGGTGTCATATTAGCAGGAAGACATACGAGTCTGAAGCACTGGGGTAAGGTCATGGCTTGGATTTCAGTTTGAGAATTGCCAATACACAGATAGTATTTAAAGTCAGATATTATTCCTGTTAATAATATATCCTGATAAGATTCTCCCCACTAGCCAAAATCTGAGGAACCCTAAAATTAGAGTTCTAACTAGAGATTCCTAAAAGGGAGATTGAGGAGAAGCAGTGAGAGAGTAGGAGAAAAACCAACAGCAGTGACAACACTTAGCATTTATATAGAGGTTACTTTTTTTTTTTTTTGAGTTGGAGTCTCACTCTGTTGCCCAGGCTGGAATGCAGTGGCACACTCACAGCCACCCCAGCGTCAACCTGCTGGGCTCCGGTGATCTGAGTTTACTTTATGTTACACACTGTTCAAAGCACTTTGTGGCTTCATAGAAGCAAAGAGAAAAACTGTTTTCTTTTTCTTTCTCCTTTTCTCCTGTTGCTTTCACCCCTAACTCAAAAAGTTTGGGTGAAACTCAACTTTTTTTTGAAATTATTATTTATAATAACATATAATATATACTTTCATTGTATTTATTTGTAATGTTATAAATATTCTTAAGTTATAATATAGATTCATTAGAAAATATTCAAACAGCACAACACAGGAAAGCTAAATGTGGAAAGCAAAGATCCTCAGAAACTTTCCTCCCAGCCTTACCCACCAGTGAAAATTATTAACAATTTCTTGTATACCCCCCAGGAATGCTCTATACACACACACACACACACAAACACACACGACTTGTTTTTACATAAATAAGATTGCTCCCCTTCTCTCTCTTTATATACATACACATATCTAATTCTGTCAGTTCCTTCTTAAAACTTGGAGATATTTCTACATCAGTATATTTAGATCTACTTTACTCTTTTAAAAGATAATACCCTATTGTACTGATATGCCATAATTTATTTAGAGCTCTTTATTAATAAGCAATTAGATTGTTTTTTTTCTTACCATGAAAAATGCTGCAAAAAAAAAATCATTGTAAATCTTTGGATAGTGGTGCAAAAATAATTGTCGCGTAATTTCCTGTAGTGAAATTGCTGAATCAAAGCATTTAAGCCTCTCATATTGTCAAATTACTCCTCCCCAAAGGTTACACAGATGACATTTCTCTAACATCATTTCCTTACATCTTGGTCCACATTTGGTATTAGCCAACTTCACAAGTTTGCCAACCCGAATGCATGAGGAAAAATGGCGTCCCCTTGTTTTCATTTGGGTCTCTTTAATTATGATTAGGGCAGTAAGACCCGATTGTTAAACGTGCACGTTTTGAAGTTAGACTCCGTAGGCTAGATCTTTCCTCTTCGTCTTAAAATGTGTGACCTCGGGCATATTGGCTCTATTGCCTCTTTTAATAAAAGGGGATGCTAGAGCACAAATCTTTAGTATTAAACAAGATACGTAGAAATCCCGGCAGCCTTCTCTCTACTTTCGCTATTAGCGGTGCCGGTCTCAATTTTTTGAAGCCGTGCTCACTCCGATACTGTGTCTTTGTTGTTTCCTCCACTCCACCAAATTTTGCAGAACTCTCTTGTTATGTATCAATAGAAATGAAAGGCAAACTGGCTCTGCTTTTCAAAATCCTCTTCCGCCCGTCCCAACCCCGCCTTAGAACTCCTGGTTTATATGTCAATTTAGAGGAATGAGTTGCCGTTTTTAAACACGCAAAGTGGACGCTCGGTCCGAGCACCTCCCGGCGGCCAGGAACTCCCGTTTACATTGCAGGAAACACTAGGCAGCAAGTATCTAACACTACTTAACAGATATCCCACCACCAGCAGCGCCTTTAGCCGCCAGTCGGCAGCGCAGAACGACTTCAGAGGTCCGAGTTTTAAACAAGGACGCCGTCCCAGACCCACCCCCTACAACGCAGGCTCCAGGACGCGCCTCCACGGCCCCGCCCCAACCGGAAGTGGCGCACCCAGCCCACTCCTTCTTCTTCCGCCGTCCGCCGGTGGCGCGGCCCGGGCTATAGCGCGTGTACGTCGGCGTCGCGGCCAGCAGAGGGATTCTGGGTAACGGCCCCGGCCGGCTGGAGCGGCTGGCTCCGCGCAGCAGGTTCCGCTCGCGCCAAGTCTGTTGGCACTGGCGGTTGTAGGGACAGGGGCAGCTGCATATGGAGCAACCGTGGCCGCCGCCGGGACCCTGGAGCCTCCCTCGGGCCCAGGGTGAGGCTGAGGAGGAGAGTGACTTGGACGTGTCCCCCGGCTCTCCCCGCCGCCCGCAGCTGCCGGGCGGCGGCGCCCAGGTGAGAGGGGGCTCGCGTTCTGCAGGGGGATGGAGGAGTGCTGTCGCCAAGCCCTCCAGAGTGCCGCGTATCCCCGACCCTCTTCTGTGCCCACCTCACTCCCAGGGGCCTGATGCCATCCCACGGCTGTTGGAACATCTTGGGAGGGGAGACGGGGGTGAGCGTTTATTACCAACCTCCACCTCCACGCACACCTTTTCTTTCAGCTTGGCTGATTCCTTCTCCCCCTTGGAAGACGTTCCTCCTCTTGACAGCACCCAGATTTTGGGCGGCTGACGCTGTAACATTGACCCTTTGTCCTCTTGTGCGTGCTTTCTCTCCGAGCACTTTCTTCTGTTAAAGGCTCCAACATACTAGTGCACAGTTGATAGTAGGAACAGCGACTGACTGTAGTTCAGTATTACTGCGTCCTGACAGAAAGATTTCACAAGCTAATTCACCCACGTTGACATTTGAGCAAATTGTGTAAACCTCGCTTTTGATGCCGGCGCACGCCTCTCCGTTCGCATGTTCGTCTTTGCCTTACTGTTTTTAGTTTTGCTTCACGTCATTCCCTCGTAAAAACATACAGGCATATACTTGCCTTTTCCTTCACACTTCTCTTTTAGGTTCTTGATGCTACTTGTGTTTCAATCCGGCTTTCTTGCCTCTTGAAACTTATTCAAATGTGATATACCATAAGGTTTTATCGGGGTCCTATCTCAGGGAGTGCTTGCGTAGTCACATCATCTTGTCATGGTTTTTCTCCCAAACTGAGTTTGCTTTGGGAGCATATTTCAGGGTTACATACTAAACACTAGTAATGCATTATAGGTGTCTGCCTTCTAGGCTTCTTGCAAAATGAGGTCCTTAAGGGCATAACAGAATTAATAGTAGTTTTTATCTGAACTCATTTTGCTAAAAGTTAACGAAGATGAATGATTTAAGTCATTTGCCAGTAAGTTTAAGATCATCAATCATATGCCCAGCTAATGGGGTTAGTCGGCTTCACACAGAGAAAAATGCTGTTTCATAATCACAGACTATACTTCGGCCAGCTAGTCACTGGCAAAGTGCAAGACATTTTTTTTAGAAAGGCAGAATGAGAGTTGATGGGTCAGTAGTCACCCACTAATTATGGATCACTAGTGTCATCTTTATATACAAAATGTGTTACAAGCACATAACATGTTAGAGAGGGAAAAAAAGAATGAACAACAGCCGCCATTGTCAATTTTGAAGGCATATGGAGAGGAAAAAATGTCTTGAATTCCATTGCATTGTGGTTGAATCATGAAAGTAATGTAGAGAAATACTGAAGTTTTAAAAACCTGTATATTAATTTTTTACTTGTGCATTTATAATTTGTTAAGCTGAAAATGATTTTAGAAGTCAATAGGCTTATCTCTTTCATTAAAAGTGATTTCTCTGAAGCCATATAGCTAGTTAGTGGCAGAATTAAAACTAGAACTCAATTATAACTCTTAGTCCAGTATATTTTCCCACCTACTGCACTGCCTGTTCTGTGAAGTACTGTAAAACTTTGACTGAAACTACCTTAAATGGTGTTAAAATTTGCAAAGTGATTACTAATTCTAAGTCATGTGTTTATTACAAACTTACTTGTCTAGCTGGCTTTAAGACTTAAATTTTTGACTTGGGATAGTTGGAAAGAATAAAATGCTTAATCTTAATTGAGAAATGTTTTATAATCTTTAAAAGAAACAACTTTGGTTTAATTTTGTCCAATATGGGGGATCTAGACATTTTAATGTAATGTGTGACGTACTGTTCTGAGCTCCAGTTAATGTAAAGATAGACCAGAAGACAGAGATCTTTTTTGGGAATCTCAACATAAATTTACATTAGTATGCTTTAATGCTAGTAATTTCTTTTTAGAATTTGTGTTTATTAAAATATAATTATGCTTAATGCTTATCTCAAACTTCAGTGTGTTCATAGGTTAATATATGACATAAACTAGGTGTGGTGGCTCACACCTGTAATCCCAGTACTTTGGGAGGCCTAGGCAAGAGGATTGCTTGAGCCCAGGAATTCGAGACCAGCCTAGGCAATATAGCGAGACCTTGTCTCTACAAAAATTTAAAATATTAGCTGGACTTGGTTGCATGTGCCTATAGTCCCAGCTACTCAGGAGAATGAGAATCGCTTGAGCCCAGGAGGTTGAGGTTGTGGTTGTGGTTGTGGTGAGCTGTGATTATAACAGTGCACTCTAGTCTAGGTGATAGAGTGAGATTCCGACTCAAAAAATAAAAAATAAAAAGGCCAAACGTCGGGCTCAGTGGGTCAGCCCGTAATCCTTTGGGAGGCTGAGGTGAGTGGATTGCCTGAGCCCGCGGGTTCCAGACCCCGCCTGGGCAGGCGAGACCTCATCTCTACAATAAAAAAATCAGCCGGGCGTGGTAGCGCGTGCCTGTAATTCCGGCTACTGGGAAGGCTGAGGCGGAAGGATTGCCGGAGCCCAGCAGGTCGAGGCTGCGGTGGCCGGAAGCGGCCACTGCACTCCAGTCTGGGTGACAGAGTGAGACTCCAACTCAAAAAAAAAAAGACCGAATATTTTATTTATTCATCTGAATATGTGTTGGATAGTTTGTCCAAATGGCCTAGTGTCTGGTAGTCTGTGGAGAATTTAAACATAAATTATTTTTAGAATTTGTTTGATTTGAGAAATGAATATTAGCTTCCACATAATTTGAAAATGCAAGACGCTACCATTGATCCATCTTGTCTTTCTTGGTATATTGTTGTCTTACAAAACACGTTTTATAACTTAATTTTTCTTATTTTCCTGGCCCCGTTTAAAGCATAGCTAATCTACAGATATTCTTGATCCTATTATAAGATAGCAAAAAGTAAAATATTTTACTTGGTTAATTAGGGACATGGTATGTAGTACTTGGGCTCCAAACCGGCTGAATGAGTAAATAAATCATCTGAATAGCAACAGTGTCCACATTTGCCCCAATAGAAATCTGAGTTTATATGAAGACTGAGCTAGAAAGTAGGGGCCTTGCTTGCTACTTGCCTCAGAATTCTTTACCACTGCCAGTCTGTTCCCAAAAATAGAGATTCATTCATTCATCAAACATTTATTGAATTCTAGCCCCTCAAAAAGCTGACAGTTAACAAATAAGCATGATATTGTTTGAAAGACACCATGATAGAAATAGGATAACTTGGGTGGGAAAAAAAGAAAATGGATAAGAAAAAATTTAGTGGGTACCGGAATCCAGATGGACTTAGGAGTTACCTAGAGGAAGGAGGATTGCCAAATTTTAGGGGGGATGAGGGCAGGGATGTGAATAATAAGCCAACAACTAGAAGAGTAACTGGAACTAAGTCTGTAGGAATATTAGGAAATGGCATCATGGAGGGCCATGCCACAGAGTTTGCGCTTTATCTCAAGATGTAAGAATGAATAAAATGATAAGACTTATTTTTGGAAAGATCATTCCAGTCTAGTGGAGTGAAGATTGGCTTGGGATAAGACAGATTGTCTTTGTATAATTCACATGTGAAATTATAAGGGCCCGGATAGTGATGCAGATATGGGAACAGATTGGAGAGAATTATTCTGAATAAGGCGTTTGAAGTTGATCTATATTTACCTAAAAAAATCATAAAGGATGTGCCTTCAGCTTTTGTTTCATAGAGCTAAGGAATACAGGGAATGAAACACCTATCACAGTGCTTTATACAGAGGATGCCAAAAAATATATACATACATTTTAAGAAAGAAAAAAAAACTGTATTAAAATTGTAATAATAGATACTGATAACAAAAGATGAATACAAGTCATATTTGACTTCTGCAATTACAAGAGGTGCTCAAAGTGGTTACTGTCAGCATATAGATACTCTGATTATGGAAAACTACTGCAGGACTTGTTGCTGTGCGAGGCCTCGTGGATCTTCCCTTGTGCACATCACACACAGTACCATGTGGCTCAAACTTATTATGAATGCTTGCAGTTGTTAGGCATCTTGGAGGTTCTGTCGCATACTCACGCCTCCATTGTTGTACTTCCACAACGTTCTCAAATTTCAAATACCACTTCAAAATGGTCTTGCGCTCCTTGAATGACAACCGTGCTTCCGCCATTTTCTTTGACTGTCCTGCCTGTCTCATGGCCATGCTAGCATTCATTTGATTATTGCCGTCTTTTGAGTGAACGTCATACTACATATTGCTACCGTAATTCAATTCAACTTAAAAAAGTAATACATAGAAAACATCTCTTAAAATGTGTGTACATATTTTTTGGCACCTCTGTCTAAAGCACTGTGATATGTAGTAATCAAGTCAATATTAAACTAATTACTACTGCTTCTGAATAGTACAGAGTCATCATGGTAGACCTGTTGGCACTTCAATAAAAATAACTGCCTATTTTGATTAGGAAAATGTTAAAAGATAACTATCTGATACCAGTTACAAATAAGAGATTTCCAATAAGAACTTCTCAGATCACCAAGGAGTGGGAAAACACAGAAAGAAAATAGAAACCAAGAAATGATTACTTTTAAATAAAAGGAGGTTTTTGCAGTGGAGAGCTTGTGGAACAAAACTTTAAAGGTCTGGTTGTCAGCATGTTGAGTATTGAGGTGATGAACTAGATTTAATCTTTGCTCTCATTATTCTGCTGGTTCAGGATTATAAAGACCATCAATCAGTGTTTGTTGTGCACCAGTTTTATGCAAAACACTGTGATAGTTGCCAGGCTTTTTGTTACTGTTAGTTGTCAGGGAGTGGCATAGATTAACAAAGAAGTTTAGAATCTAGTTGATGAAACAAGGCCTGTAATATAAATATAAATATAAAAAGTAACTAGAACCAGAACACAGTAAATGCTATGTACCAAAAACATGGTACAGAAATCCTCTGAATTAAAAAATTGAACTGTGCTGTACAAACATATCCATTGCCCTTTTCATTTCTTACAAATATTGTTTTTTCATCCAGATGTATAGCCATGGGATTGAACTGGCTTGCCAAAAACAGAAAGAGTTTGTGAAGAGCTCTGTGGCTTGCAAATGGAATCTCGCTGAAGCTCAGCAGAAACTTGGTAGCTTAGCACTGCATAACTCTGAATCCTTGGATCAGGAACATGCCAAAGCACAAACAGCAATATCAGAACTGAGGCAGCGGGAAGAAGAATGGCGACAGAAAGAAGAAGCTCTGGTACAAAGAGAGAGGACGTGTTTGTGGAGCATGGATGCCGTTAGCAAGGATGTTTTTAATAAGGTATGACCTTTTATTGGGCCATAATGAAAGAAGAAAAAACTAAAGTGTTTGCACAGAGTTCTCTATTTTTAAAAATTTTTTAATTTTGTTTTTTAAGTTTTCAAACCAAGTTTGATTAGAGAAGGAAGAGCAAAAAGAAAGGGAGACATGCTAGAGCTGGCATGGGCTAGAGAAACCACTGCAACAAAATGCCTTTAAATAGTGTTCAATTTTGACAGTTTATGAAAAGTGCTTGAAAAGTTTATAACAGTCAAAAAGTTTCAAAGCTCTTACACTAGAGGAGCAGACTCCAGGCATAATTAACCAGTCTCAAATACTTATTTATGTACATGTACTACTGAACAAATATTATATATATTAAAAAGCAGTCACAAAAATATATAAGGATGAGAAAATATCTACATCACAGTTATAACATATCTTCCTTTCATATCTCATATTTTATATCTCCCATATTGATGGTCACTGCTTTAGAGTTCCTTTAATTCAACCGCTTTATTTTATAAATAAGGAAACTGAAAGGTAAGTAGAGTGACTTGGTAACACCATGGTGGATTAAATATGAGGAAGAAATTCCTGACTGTGAGACTGAGCGACTAGATAAAGAGAGGTATTGAATATCCTTTTTAAAGATGTCTTTAAGAATGTAAGTGATATCCATGTAATGATGTTCAGTATTAATGGAGATAATAGTTTTTTGTGCTGTCTCCATTAACAGTGAACATTATTGGCCTAGTTAAGCTTTTAAAATCCTGTGTTTCTCAAACTTCAGGGTTGGTTTTTTTTTTTTGAGTTGGAGTCTCACTCTGTCACTCAGACTGGAATGCAGTGGCACACTCCCAACCACCACAGCTTCAACCTGCTGGGCTCCAGCGATCCTTCCGCCTCAGCCTTCCAAGTAGCTGGAACTACAGGCGTACGTTACCACGCCCAGCTAATTTTTTGATTTATTGTAGAGATGAGGTCTCACCAAGTTGCCCAGGTGGGTCTCAAATTTACAGGCTCAGGCAGTCCACTCACCTCAGCCTCCCAAAGCGCAGGATTACAGGCTGAGTCACCGAGCCCGGCTACTTCAGGTTTTATACCTTTATTTTTCATTTGAAAACAAGAGTTTCTAGAGATTGATTTCCAAATGCATGAAAAGAGGGAAAAGGCAAAGCCTAATAACTTCATGAGCTAATGTATTAAGTGTAGAGTAAAATGACATAATTATATATTGAAAAATAGTAGTCTATATTAAGCCTTATTTTGGAGAAACATTTATAAATGAGTGTATGAACATGCTGATAAGCACAGATATTTTTGCGTTCTTTTTTTTTTTTTTACTAGACAAAATGGCTAAAAGAAACAGTTCTCAGGAGCTAAAATCTTTTAGCTTTACAACAAAGGTGGATTTTGTATATTATCCACTAGTATTGGTGTTCTTTAGGCCTGAAACATGGAGAGAATAGGAAGAACTAGGCCTTCAAATGTTACCATTTCCTTTCATTAATCCATGGACATATCATCTAGGTGTGAATTTGAACTGCTTTTAGCCTTTTTAATATGGAAAATATCAACATTTACAAAGTAAGCAGATTAACCCCTTGTTCCACATTAACAGCAATCACCATTCTCCTATTCTCATTTCATCTGTATTTTCCCCTGCTCTCCATCTCTGCTTGATTATTAATTTTTTTACATTTGGGGGTAAGATTTATATACTTTGAGATGCACACATCTCAAGTGTACAGTTGTAATAAATAAATACAATCGTGTAATCCACACTCCTGTCAAGATATGTAATAAGGAACTTTTAAAAAAAACTATGGGACAATTAAATTAATTTTTTATTAATTTGTAAAATGATACTTCTTCATACTAAACCCTCTAGCTTCAGGAATATACTGCTCATTCTCTGTCTAAATCCACATTGACCTTTAACTGTCATTTTCTTGACTACTTGGTTTATAACCTACTTGTTACTGTCTTCCTGGCATCCACTCTCACCTCCCCATTCTTTTTTTTTTTTTTTTTGAGTTGGAGTCTGTCGCCCAGGCTGGAGTGCAGTGGCACGCTCACAGCCACCACAGCTGGGCTCAGGCAATCCTTCCACGTCAGCCTTGCAAGTAGCTGGAACTACAGGCGCGCACTACCATGCCCAGCTAATTTTTTGATTTATTGTAGAGATGAGGTTTCACAAAATTGCCCAGGTTGGTCTTGAACCCCTGGGCTTAGGCAACCCTCTCACCTCAGCCTCCAAAAGTGCTGGAATTACAGGCTTGAGCCACTGTGCCCAGTACCCATTCTTAGTTGCCTTTCTCTCGATCAGCTCTAGTTCTGCTACAGCTATCAGTAACGTACATAGGATAGGTAAATTTACATCACCACTAGCTTTGTCAGTACTTTCTTCTTTGTTGAGAAATTTTAAGAGTATAATATGCTTTTTGTAAAGTCAGTCGATCAATACATACATAAATATTTAAAATAGAAATTGAAAGCCTCCCTTTCCCTGCAATTCTATTTCCCAAATAAATGGAATTGTTAACAGTAAGTCATATCTTTCTAGACTTTCTCTGTGCCTGTACTAATTTATATATATTTTTGTCCCCCATACATGAACATTCTTTATCTGATTTGCTGTTTCTATATATATTGTTCTAAGGGGTATAATTTTCTGCTTTGTAGTTATACCCCAGAACTATTTAAAATAATTTTATTTTTCTAAGTAATGTTCCTTTATTTTGTAAAGTTGTGTCTCTTTTTTTTTTTTGAGTTGGAGTCTTACTCTGTCTTTCAGGCTGGAGTGCAGTGACACAATCATGGCTCACCACAGCCTGGATGTTCTGGGCTCAGGTGATCCTTCCACCTCAGCCTCCTGAGTACCTGGGACTACAGGCATGTGCTACCACGCAAATCCAGCTAACTTTTTGATTATTTTTTGTGGAGATAAGGTCTCTACAAAAAGTATGTTACCTAGCTAGGCTGTCTCAAACTCCTGGGCTCAACCAATCCTCTTGCGTCAGCCTCCGAAGGTGCTAGAATTACAAGTATGAACCACTGCACCCAGCCTTGTCTCTTAACACTGGCCACAAAAATATTTTTTCATTTTGTCTCTGCTTTTAATTTTTTCTTTAACATAGCCTGCATTCATATATCACAAATTAATTAGAAGTATTTTTATGTTCCAGTCATTTGTTCAAAATTGTACATTAGTTTTCTCTGAGAGCTTGAGACTTGGGAGGACTGATCTAGATCTGTGCTGTCCAACTCAATATCCACTGCCACTATGTGGCTAGTTCAAATAGAGATGTGCAGTAAGTGTTTCAATGACTTAGTACCAAAAAAGTAAAATATTCTATTAGTACTATTTTTGTATTGCTTACATGTTGAAATGATAATATATCGTGCTTCCCATTGAAACTGAACTGGATTAAAAAAGAGTGGTACATATACACAATGGAATATTATGCAGCTGTAAAGTAGGACAAATACATGGACTTCACAGCAACTTGGATGGATTTAGAGTTGATCATACTCAGTGATCTATCACAGAAACAAAGAACAGAGTACCATATGTTCTCACTCATAAGTGGACCTTGAACAATTATCATAATACTATAAGAAAGGGATTGACAGTTGAGGGAAACTGCCAGGAGAGAGGGGCACACCTCATCAACAAAGGTACCTGCTTAATGAACATTTGTATACCTAACCCTGAATTGTACCCCACATCTTTCAAATAAAAAAATTAGCAAGCAAAAAAAAAAAGAAATGTTAATATGTTGATGTGTTAGGTTAAATCAAATCTATTAATGTTATCTCTTTCTTTTTGCTTTTATTTATTTATTTTTGAGTTGGGGGGGTCTTACCCTGTCACCCACGTTAGAGTGCAGTGGCAGGATCACGGCTCATCACAGGTCAGCCTCCTGGACTCTGACAATCCTGCACGCCTAGCGAATTTTTTAAAAATTAATTTATTTCAATAACTTTAGAAGGTACAAGTGGTTTTCGATCACATGGATATATTATACAGTGGCAAAAAAAAACTAGTCTTTAAGTGTACTCACTACACCAACTTGTGCACATTGTACCCAGTAGGTAGTTTTTCATCCCTTCCCCACTTCCATCCCCGCTTCTAAGTCTCCAGTGTCCATTATACCATTCTCTATTTTCAGATCCTTAGTTTAGTTCCTACTTACAAGTGAGAATATGCATTGTTTGGTTTTCCATTCCTCCTGCATTAGTTCACTTAAGATGATGTTCTCTAGTCCCATCCAAGTTGCTGCAAAAGACGTAATTTCATTCTTTCTTTATGGCTGAATGGTATTTCATGGCGTGTGTGTGTGTGTGTGTGTGTGTGTGTGTGTGTGTGTGTGTATATGTGTATGCTTCCTGATTGTAAACTGGCAGTGAGCTAGTTTGCAATTTTTATTTTTTGTGTGTATACATACACACACACGCACACCACGTTTTCATTGTCACGATCACTTGACGGGCACTTAGGCTGGTTATACATTTTTTGCAATTGTGAATTGTGCTGCAGTAAACATACACATTCAAGTGTCTTTTTGGTACTATGTTTCTTTGGGTAGTTACCTAGTTGTGGGATTCCTTTTTGCTTTTTTTTTTTTTTTTTGAGTTGGAGTCTCACTGTCACCCAGGCTGGAGTGCAGTGGCACACACAGGGCCACTGCAGCCTTGACCTGCTGGGCTCAGGTGATCCTTCTGCCCCAGTCTTCCAAGTAGCTGGAACCACAGGCATGCACCACCACGCCTGGCTAATTTTTTAATTTATTGTGGAGACAAGGTCTCAACATGTTGCTTAGGCTAGTCTCAAACCCCTGAACTAAAGCAATCCTCTCACCATTGCCTCCCCAAATGCTGGAATTATAGGCATTAACCACCATGCCTGGCTCTTTGCTTTTTAATGTGGCTAACAGAAAACTTTAAATTATGTTCATGACTTGGATTATATTTCTGTTGGACAGAGCTGGTCTAGATGACAGACTATATAAAGGAAAAAAATGCTTTTATTTTGAAATACATAAACTTTTACATGCTTCCTGATTGTAAACTGGCAGTGAGCTAGCTTGCAATTTTTATTTTTGGCAGCGATGATAACAGGGTATAAATGTGATCACAGAATGTTCTGAGAAACTGTTCTGCCAGTTTTTCTGGCTAGATAAAAACTTCATTTGTGGTCTGTTCTATGACTTAGTTAACTGAAAATAAGCACTGCCTTAATCAAAATCTGTACTTGATTTTTAGGAATCAAACTGGTCTCTCCTAAGAAAGGTTGATTAGAAATGCAGCAAAGGTCTATTTCTGGTGTATGTCTTAAAGAATTTATAGTAAATATGCTTTATTCTCTTTATGCTTTGAGTTTTTGAGTTTATTTCCAGCAAGAATTCCAAAGATTAGGGTAAAGTTGCACATATTTATAGGAAAGGAATAATGCAAATGTAGATTGTACATGTAAAGGATCTTTTTATACCTACCTTTAATAGAGAAGTTCAGTTTAACAAAGTTTAATTCAATTGTTTCATTGTATGATTTCTTAGATAAAGCTATAATTTTTCATACATATATCATTTGAAACAAAACTAATGAAATTCCCATACAATATTTTAAATTTTTTAAATAAAAAGTTTAACAGATTAATTTAATGATGTAATATCAGTATGGTATCATACCACATTTTATATTGTCTGTAGGATTGCTAGGCAGTATCCAAGAAAGAAGATTCAGATTTTAGAATGTAAAATCTGATTTTGATTTTTATAATTTTTTGTAGAGTTTTATTAATCAAGATAAAAGAAAAGAAACAGAAGATGAAGATAAATCAAAATCATTTATGCAAAAATATGAACAAAAAATAAGACATTTTGGTAAGTCTGCTAGTTAAGTTTTCTTCTTTGTAATGTTTGTTATCATGTATGTGTGCAAAAAATAGGTTTATAAAATGGGAGCCAAAAAGTGGCAAACTCTAGTTTTGTAGTACATTTGGCATAGTTGATTAGATCTTGTTTTAGAACTTTTTTGGTTATAGATAAAATAGACAGCAAACCAAATTGTAAAGAGAAGCAAAATTAATCTATTATTGTATAATACTATCCTCCAATACAGTCTGGTTTATTATTTTTTTTTTTAAGAGACAGGGTCTTGTGCTTCCAACCAGGCTGCAGTGCAGTAGTGTGGTCATAGCTCACTGCAGCCTCAAACTCCTTGGGCTCAAGTGATCCTCTTGCCTCAGCCTCTTGAATAGCTGAGACTGCAGATATGTGCCACCATGCCCAGCTAATTTTCAAAAATTTTTTGTAAAGATATGGTCTCACTATGATAGCCAGGATGACCTCGAACTCCTGGACTCAAGCAGTCTTCCTGCCTTGGCCTCCCAAAGTACTGGAAGTATAGGCATGAACCACACACTTGGCACCTGTTTATTCCATAGACTCTTCCACTTCCCCCCTAGACTTTGCTTTTGTTTTTCCTTTTTACCTCTTTGGTATCTGGTTATCTTATAGTAAAAGATTAGCATTTTTTCAAGATTTTGGATATGATTCTATATAATTCAGGCAAATCCTTGAACTGTTACTCAGATAAATATCGTAATAGAAATGTGTATATAAAGACCTGAAAAATAGTTTTTTCTATTGGAGAAAATGGGTAGGTTGGGCGTTGATATAAGTAAAAGCTTCCCAGAGAAGGTTGCATCTGAGCTTGATTATGGGGAACAGATAATTTTTCATGTAGACATGGGAGGCAAGGCAAGAGCAACAGCATGTAGAGAGTCAGAGTAAGGAAAAGCCTGGTGTATTCTGAGTATTATAAGCAATGTAATACTGCTGGTATGAAAATGCTACTGGGAAGGTAGGAGTTAGGGTTTAAAGCCCTCAGTAATATGTTAATTTAGTAAACATGGTTTTTATTTGTAGTATGTTCATGAACTTTTACAATAGCATTTTGAAATATTTTTTCTATTGGTTCCCCCCAAATTTTTCAATTTCACTTATACATCAGTTATTTTAAGACAAAGAATAATACTTTTACTTTTTCCCCTTCATTTTATGCAGTTTATTCATGAAACATTCATATTCCTCATACTTTTTATTTTAAGGAAAGATAATAGATTGTATTTTTTTTTTTTGAGAAGTAGGAATTTATTAGAAGACAGAAAAGCTCCCAACAATGGAAGGGGACCTGAAAGAGGGTTGTCCATAGATTATATTTAACTCAAAAATAATACCTGAAGAAATAAACATAGACAAAGTTTTTCTACATATTATCATTATAGTATTATTTAGAATAGAAAAAAATGAATAAACAGTTCTCTTTTGGACAGATATTAAAATATTTAAATAAGCAGAGACTTGAGTAAAGGATACAAGGCAAAAATTTTGCAAGTAAATCTTAGTGGTGACATGTGAGTGGCCACTTCCACCTATAGTCCTTGCTTTCTAGGCCCATGTTTTTCTGATGTAGGAAAAATAGTACCACATACTGGTTACTTTTTCAGACATTTACTACATCTGATAAAACATCCCTCAAGGTATTTTCATCCAGCTGGCATTCTTTAAACTGATTGCTTTGGAACCATGGGAAGTTTAGTAGGTGAGAAACAATTCTTCACTTTCACCTTGGTTGGAAACAGCTTTGTGTGGGGAAAATATTTGAATCTCACAAGATGTTGTAACCCATCTGGCACTATAACTAAGTTTTTAGTAAACGAATTTACAAAACTTGCTGTTTCTAGGTAGTGATGTTTATGATGAGACCAGTTTAGTGTTCATTTCTTTTTCTGTAAGAGGAGTTTCTGGGTCAAAAAATAATGTGGTATGGTGAATAATTCATTTAGAAAGCCCACAGATGTATTACTGGTAGAGGCATAGAAAACAGGGAGAGCAATTCCAGAGCTAGAATAGGCCTGTTCAAGTGAGGAATTACTGGTTCCTCCAAGATGAAATAGGACCAAGATAATTAATCTGCTACTTGATATCTGGTTTCAGCATTGGTTGTTGCAACTGGCAGATTAAATGTTTACTGGCTAAACTGGATTGGGATTCTCGAACACCTTTGATGGGGAGAGCCCATACTGTTGAATCTATGCATGATCTCAAACCTGTGTCATCACGGCTCCTTAGTTTATAAAACTATTGTGCAGGTAATAAGATAGCTGTGGGGAAAGGCTGACTTGGCATCCACAGGTGATTAATAAGCAATTGTTTTGCCATTATGTGTTGTGAGCTTCCAGTGTACTACCTTGTAATACTAACCAGAGCCTTGCTGTCTTCAAACCCAACCAGACATGATAGCCACTCCCAGATTCACATTGTGCCTGTTTCTTAGTGGAAATGCACATTGACTTTTCATTTTGGAGGAGATATCCTACTTGCTGCAGCACACTGGATCCCCAGAAATGTTACTAAGGTAGTAGGCTCCCAACATTTTCATTTTCATTTCCCACTCTTTGGCGTGTGTGTATCTTAATAAGGCATCTGGGGTACCTGCTACTTTCTACTAAATTCTGTCAATATAGATTGGACCAATTTGTAGTCATGTGGGATGATGAGATAATCAAAATCCCTGTGGAATAAATTATGGCACAGAGTATAGAGGCAAGAAGCAAGACAGTGAAAGTTCGATGCTGTCCCTGCTTGGTGGAAGCAGTTGTTTCTGAAATTGCGTACTTATTGTGATTAAGGAAGAAAACATTTGCCAGAATGACTATATTGATACATACCTTTAAGCACATCTGGAGTAGGAGTTATAATTAAAGCTTCCAACTGGAGGCTTTCTAAACTTGGATTGCATTCCAGATTCTTGGAAGACATGGGCCTGGTATGTTGGAGGCTGTGGAGGGGTGCAGGGGCTTCACACTAGTACTTTTCTGTGTCTCGTGTGTGCTTATATTTGTCAGAGTTTCTCCTCATTTTCCCTTATACTATTTGTTGACTACCTTTTTTGTGTTGCTTTTAACCTTATAATTAGATGGAATTTACCATCTATTGATACACTATATTATGGAGTTTGTGAAGTATTCAAATCGGATATTTTTCCAACATTTATATTTACCTTATTAATTTAGTTAATTATTTTATAAAACAAAGCTTATTGTCTCTCAAATTTCACATTTATATTTAAAGTTACATACTTCTTTGACATCATTGACTCATAAGAGTTATTTTTTGAATCATCTAATGCAATATTTCAGAATACATCATTTTCACTTCCACCCAAAGTTAGCCATGATTCAGCAATTTTTGAATCTGGGTAGGATGTTGTTTTTGGAAATTTTACCAAAAGCTATAAACACTGGCACAAATCCTATGATAGGGTTTTTTCATTTGTACTGAAGATGAATATTTACAACGTCTTCAGTGTAATCACTTATGTATTGCTTTTTTGAAAACATATGTATATTGCTTTTGAAAACATTCTATTTTTGAAAAACATTTAATGTAAAATACTCTTGAATAGAATATGAAGTGAAAATGTGTGATATGATTTTAATTTTGTTTCTTTAAAAGTCATTAAAAAACACACCTGTAAGGATATACATCAAAGTGTTAACAATAATTATCTCATGTGGTAAAATTGCGGATGATTTTTATTTTCTATATTTTTCAAATTCTTCACAATTAATATATTTTATAGCCTGAAAAAAAGATTTTTAAAGGACTTAATTGTAGGATGGCTTAACATTAGAAAATTCATTAATGTGATTCACTTTATTAACAGATTATAGTAGTATATCACTACAGGATTTAATGATCAATTTAATGTGAGAGAAATGTGAATGTCAGAGGAATTTCTAGAATGCTTGATTTGGTGACATGGAACCTAGGAAGCATTATAGAAGGCAAAGAGAGAAGAATGGGTTTGGTTTCAAATAAGATGAGTTTATGTGCAGGCATGTAGAGAGAAATGGTTGTACAGTGGTAGATGATTAGAAATATAGGTGATCTGGATCTCAGGAAATATAGGGAAAATGGTCATAACACTTTTCTCACAGAATTTACAACCTAACTTGGAGTTTTTTTTAGCACCCAGAGAAATTAAAATGAATAGTGCAAAGTGCTAAAATGTATCAATCTATAAGTATAATGTAGAGAGGAAAGGAAAGTCAATAAGGACGTGTATTTGGGAACTATTTATGGATCAGGTAGAATATTGAGAGTTGATGAATGGATTGAGATTTAGATGTTCACAAGGGAAATACATAGCTTAAAGCATATAACTAAAATATTTAAATTTGTCAAAGGGAAGTTTTTCCACCATTCAGATAAATTGGTTGGCTAGTTTAAGTGACTGGATTATCCTTAACCAAAGGATTAGGTAGCCGGGCTCAGCCTGTAATCCTGCGCTTTGGGAGGCTGTGGTGAGTGGATTGCCTGAGCCTGAGGGTCCGATACCCGCCTGGGCAACTTGGCAAGACCTCATCTCCACAATAAATCAAAAAATCAGCCAGGCGTGGTGGCGCATGCTTGTAGTTTCAGCTACTTGGAAGGCTGAGGTAGAAGGATCACCAGAGCCCAGCAGGTCTAGGCTGCAGTGGCCAGGAGCGACCACTGCACTCATCTGGGTGGCAGAGTGAGACTCTAACTCAAAAAAAAAAAAAAAAAGGATTAACTGAATATTTGTTTAACAAATGTTCACTATTGTGTTAATAACTATCATTTATCAAGTATTCACTGTGTATCAGGCACTGTTCTAAGTGCTTTGTGTGAATTAATAGCATCTACTTGTCACAAAAATCCTGTAAGTTAGGTACTTTTGAGTCCTGTTACTTTTTTTTTTTAGAGTTAGGTACTCCTTTGAGTCCTATTAATTTTTTTTTTTTGAGTTGGAGTCTCACTCTGTCACCCAGACAGGAGTGCAGTGGCCGCTCCCGGCCACCACAGCCTCGACCTGCTGGGCTCCGGCGATCCTTCCGCCTCAGCCTTCCAAGTAGCCGGAATTATAGGCATGTGCTACCACGCCTGGCTGATTTTTTGTTTTATTTATTGTAGAGATGAGGTCTCACTGCCCAGGCGGGTCTCGAACCCACGGGCTCAGGCAATCCACTCACCTCATCCTCCCAAAGGCACGGGATTACAGGCTGAGCCACCGAGCCCGGCTTTTTTTTTTATTTTTATTTTTTAATGCTGCCCAGGCTGGTCTCGAGCTCCTGGGCTCATGCTGTCCTGTTGCCTCAGCCTCCCAAAGTGGTGTGAGCCACTACACTTGGCCTCTTTTTTAGCCCTATTTTACAGAAGTGAACTCATATAAAGGGACTTCCCCAAGGTAGAAGGTGGTGAAGCCAATATTCGAACCTTGGCAGTTTAGCTGTAGAGTCTGCTTTCTTAGCCATTGTGTTACTTTCCATTTGTTTACAAGTGTGTTTATAAATTCCAAAATAACATCAGTAACTTCACATGTGTTCTCTTTCACCAAGCAGTTGATTCTCTTTAAGTATTTTGCTCATAAAATTCCATACTCATCCACAAATGTCTGTATGGACTACCTGTAACTTAACTTCTCATTTCATACTAATTCAGTGTGCATTTTTTAAGTCAAGTGATGACAAGTATTTCTCAGATAAAGAAAGCCTATGTTTAATCTCAACTATTAATTTTGTCTCAGATATTAAACAAGTAGTTAGAAAAGTTTAATATTTGATGATACCATTCCTCTTGGCTCCTGCAAGCATCACTAACCCTTTCCTGTTACCCTTCCTACAAAAGAAACAAAAATGGTTAGGATTTTGGTATTTCAGTGAGTCATAATGCTGCCATAGAGAAATAGGAGGAGAAATGCTGTATGGATAGTAGACAGAGTTGAAAATATTACCTCTTCAGAAGTGTAAGGAAGCTAAGGCAAAACTGCTTTATGGGATTTACTTTATAGTTTCAAGTATAAGGAATAAGAATCATGCTTTCTTTAGATCTGACCCCAGGAGTCATTAGACTCTTTAACTATACTTTGAGAAATAGTTTTAAGTAACTTTCATAATCATTGTGTTTCTCAGACTTTCAAATGACTTAATGATTGTCTCCAAAGTGTAGGGGAAATAGCTTTATAAAATTCTTTGAGAAAATGCTAAAATATTTTTCCCTTTTTTCTTTTTTTCTTTTTTTTGAGTTGGAGTGTCACTCTGTCACCCAGGCTGGAGTGCAGTGGCATGCTCACGGCCACCACAGCCTCAACTACTGGGCTCAGGTGAACCTTCTGCCTCAGCCTTCCAAGTAGCTGGAACTATAGGCATGCACCACCACGCCTGGCTATTTTTTTGATTGATTGATTGATTGATTGATATTTTGAGTTGGAGTCTCACTCTGTCACCCAGGCTGGAGTACAGTGGCATGCTTACAGCTACCCCAGCATCTCTGACAATTCTTCCGCCTCAGTCTTCCAAGTAGCTGGAAGGCGTGTGCTACCATGCCCGGCTAGTTTTTTACTTATTGTAGAGACGGGGTCTCGCCAAGTTGTCCAGGCTGGTCTCGAACCCGCAGACTCAGGCAATCCACTTGCCTCGGCCTCCTAAAGTGCTGAGTTTACAGGCTTTTTTGATTTATTGTAGAGATGAGGTCTCACAAAGTTGCCCAGGCTGGTCTCGAACCCCTTGGGCTCAGGCAGTCCTCTCACCTTTGCCTCCCAAAGTGCTGGCATTACAGGCATGAGCCATGGTGCCTGACCCTCCTTTTTCTAGGTAAGGGAAAAAGAATAATTTATTTTCAGTGACTCCCATGTGTTGCTTTGTATTCTAAGACATTTGTCTTCAGTTTTGTTCTTCCTTGTGTTCTAATATGGAATTTAATGTATAAGAGTTCATTTTGTACCTAGAGGAAAGGCTTACTGCTAAACTGTTGAGACAGATGTATAAAATTTCCCATCTGAACATCCAAACAACCCTGGATGGGTCTAAAGAGTCTAAACCTAACATTGTTATATTGAATTTCTTAAATAGGATTTGAATTCCTTTGATATCTTGAAACAAAATGGCAGCCATTTTCAAATATGTTTAACTGACTTTTAAAAGATTTTGTTTACTTTGTATATAACAGACATCATGAATAAATGGCTGACACAACTGTCTCAATTTGCCCAATACTGTGGGTGTTCCCAGATGCAGGATTTTTTTTACTTTAAACTGACCACTATATTTTAGCCTAATTATCTGTAATAAAACTGAATTTCAGAAATTATTTCCAGTACACTGGGTATTGCTTTAAAGGGTATTGTCCTTCATTTGCTCTTGTACCATAACATAATGCTCTGGTAACATGAATTGTCTTTAAAGAGAAACATTTTAAAATTCAATCAAGAGATTAATTATTAATTAAGAGTGTATTTCTTCCCTTACAGGAAGAAAGGAAATATTTCACAGTCATAGTTTAATTCTGTTTTTACAGGTATGTTGAGTCGATGGGATGATAGTCAGAGATTTTTGTCTGACCATCCATACCTTGTATGTGAAGAAACTGCTAAATATCTTATTTTATGGTGTTTTCACCTAGAAGCTGAGCAGGTATTGTGTGAACCTTGAGTTTTTTGGAATGTTAGTGAAATTCTGATTTCATACTTTATTGGTGTCTTGTCTTTTGTATCACATCCTTTAAATGAAAACAGAAAGATCATTAGATGGAATTGCAATATTATGTTTTTCAGATCTACTTGAGCTTAATGTGGGAATTTTTTTTAGTTGTTTCAGTTAGCATACGGAAACTTTTCCATTGCACAGTTGTGTTCTCATATAATATAATCCTTGTTCTGTTTTTAACTAATTAGAAAGTTGTATTTTAAAAATCACACAGTAATCACAATATTAAATCAAGCTCATGGCATGGTCTTCCTTTAGTTATTCTAGTTCATATACAAATAATCAAAACTAAGATATATTCTTTATATGTCTGCAAACTACTTGACTTAAAGCTAAAGGGTAAAATCAAAAGTATTGTAAAAGTGCAAAATTTGAATCAGTGTACCAATTGAATATCTTTATAGAGGTATTTCTTGTCATTTTAATCTATTTCTTTTCAGAAAGGGGCTCTAATGGAACAAATAGCACATCAAGCTGTTGTAATGCAGTTTATTATGGAAATGGCCAAAAACTGTAATGTGGATCCAAGAGGGTGTTTTCGTTTATTTTTCCAGAAAGCCAAAGTAAGTGATTTGATGTTGACAAATGGGAAGCTTAGACCTTAGCTGAGACCTCTTTGTTCTAGTCACATCAAAAGAAACCATCCAACCAGGAAGCCACGGACTAAATTCTGTAGATTTTCTAGTGAAAACAAAATTTATATTTTTAATTTCATGCTAATTTAGACTTAAAGGAGCTATATAAGAGACTGTGCCATAGCATGTATGTGAAATTGAGACCCATTCAAATGAATGTGTGTATTCAGGAAACTTGTAGTATTCCATCATTTATTCATTCAGTAAATATTGAGTGCCTACTAGACCAAAGCACAGCTGCTTCAGATGGGTAGGATACATCATTGAGCCAAATAGATACTGGATTCTCCATGTATAGAACTCATAGTCTAATGAGAAACAGACTTCTATAATGAAAAAAATAGGAAACAACCTAAAAATTCAACAAGAAGAAGAATGGTTAAAAATAGTTGTGATACAAAACACACTTCTAATGATCCGAGAAAATACATATGGTATAAATTCAAAAGAAATAATAAATACAAGATGATGTTTGCCATGTTTAAAAAAAAAAACAAACATATATATATACATATATCTATATCTATCTATCTATCTATCTATCTATCTATCTATCTATCTATATATATATCTAGAAAGATTAAGGACCATTTTGCACTCACTAGATTGGTAGTAATTTAGAAGTTCCCCAAGAAGTAGAGCAAAAAGATGCCCAAGAAGTAGAGCAACAAGAGTTTGCATTCACTGCTAGTGAAAGTATGCACGGGAACAACTACTGTACAAAATTTCTTAGTAAAGTTGAACAAACACACCTTAACACTCAGAAATTCAAGTATATACTCTAGAGAGTATTTACCACCTTTTATGAGGACTTCAGTCAGAACTTTTCATAACAATACCAAGATAAGATATTATTTCCCATTTTCATTCTCATTCTCTTATGAGTATCAGTAAATATTGATGCAGAAGCATGTGTGAGAATCTAGCTGTTTTTTGTTAAGCCAGTCATTAGATTTATAAAAATGAAAAAAGAAGAAAAAAAAGTGCCTCTCTTCTCACTAAACTTTTTTGTTTTGGAAAATAATTTTTTAAAATAAAAATGTTAATGGGTTAGGCATGGTGGCTCACACTATAATCCTAGCATTTTGGGAGGCTAAGGCAAGAGGATTACCTGAGCCCAGGAGTTTGAGACCAGCCTGGGCAGCATGGCGAGACCTCATCTCTACAGTAAAATAAAAAACGGGCGTGGGTGCATGCCTGTAAACTTAGCTACTTGGGAGGCTGAGGTGGAAGGATCACCTGAGCCCAGCAGGTCGAGGTTGTGGTAGCTGTGATTGTCCACTGCACTTCAACCTGGGCAACAGAATGAGACACTAACTCAAAAAAGAAAAGTTATTAACAGTGGTATGTAATGAGTTTGTTATTGTTATTTTTTAGTTCGTAGTTTTAAATTTTCTCAGTTTTAATTTCTAACACAAATATTGACAAATATAACCCACATAAATAGATGCTGTTAATAGGTTCCTCAATAATTTTCAAGAATGTGAGAGTCCTGAAACCACAAAGAGAACTGCTGCCCTAGAGAAACTTACATGTTTGCACTAGATCGCGATGTTTATAGCAGAATTGTTCATAACAGCAAAAAGCCTGGGAACAATGACTAAATTGTGGTACAGATTAAGTGTCCTAATCCAAAATCCAGAATGCTCCAAAATCTGAAACTTTAGGATGCTCAAGGGAAATGCTCACAGATTTTGAGTTTTCAAATTAGGGACACTCAGCTGGTAAGTGTAATGCAAGCATTTAAAAATCCAAAAAATTCACCATCTGAAATACTTCTGGTCCCAAGCATTTTAGACAAGAGACACTCTACCTGTATATTGATTCAGCATCAGCCTGGATGAATAACCAGGAGACTGAATAAAATATGCCACAGTGATATATCCAATGTCATTTTTATTTTATTTTATTTTTTATTTTAAAGATGTGGGGTACAATTCAGGGTTAGAGATACAAGTGTTCATTATGTACCCTCAGTATCATTTTAAAAAACGTTTTTATAAAGCTCATATTTTTAATATTTATTTATAAAGTATTTTTTATAACAGAACTAAACACATTGAAGGATGCATATACAGAAGGTGTCCAAAAAATGTATACACATTTTAAGAAAGGAAAACACTTTATTAAAATTGTAATGCTCTAATAATCAGTATATACCGATAACAAAAGATGAATAAAAGTAATATTTGGTTGCGCTGCCAATTTTATTGTCCTGCCTGTGCCATGATGCCAGCATTCATTTGATTAATGCCATCTTTGGGGCAAATGTGTATCCAGTTTTTTGGCAATCCCAGTATAAGCAGTAAAACTAAACAAGCAAAGGAATGATAAGACAAAAGTTACACTAGTGGTAACCAGAGGAGGAGGAATGCTCTTGGGAACTGGTTTCTAATATACTAGCAATGCCAGGCTCGGTGGCTCAGCCTGTAATCCCGCGCCTTTGGGAGGCTGAGGTGAGTGGATTGCCCGAGCCCACGGGTTCGAGACCCGCCTGGGCGACAAGACCTCCTCTCTACAATAAATCAAAAAATCAGCCGGGTGTGGTAGTGCATTCCTGTAATTCCGGCTACTTGGAAGGCTGAGGCGGAAGGATCGCCGGAGCCCTGCAGGTCGAGGCTGCAGTGGCTGGGAACGGCCACTGCACTCCAGTCTGGGTGACAGAGTGAGACTCCAACTCAAAAAAAAAAGAAAAAAGATACTAGCAATGACCTATTTCCTAATTTTTGTGGGTACATAGTAGGGATTTTGCTTAATAACTTGTACATATATATCTTACATGCTTTTGTTGAACATAGGATACATTGAAACATAAGATTAGAAGTTAAAAGGAAAAATACCAAAAGTTTAACTTTAGTTATACTTCAGTGGTGGAATTGTAAATGATTTTCATTTTCTTTTTCATATTTCCTTTTATAAGCAGAAAAATTATATATACTATATTTTTAAGTTTTAAAAATACTATCAAGGTGGCAGTAGACCTAATTTAAATACCTTAAACTCTTCTAAAGTGAAGTGCAACCAAATAGGAAATTTTTCTGAAACAGTTGAGTTGTAATGAGGAAATGATTGACAGTATTTTAGCTAGGCTTATGGTAACTGCTCTGAATTTGTCCTTGACACATAGGAGTAATAAAAGCTATACTTTCCTTTCATCTTACATTAACGGATGTATCTAAACTGATGCTTAATAAGATAATGGAATGTGGCCACATTACATATAATCTTTGAAATTTATGACATTATAAAACTGAAAGACACTGAAGTCTTCAATCTTAACGTTGTGTATATATAGGAAGGGGCTACTTCCTATCAGTTTGTTTTGTTTTGCTAAAGCAGAAGGAAATAGAAAAAAACAATTATTAATGTTCCTATAAATCTGGTAGCGTTCACAGATGTGATAGGGACCATGGTGGCTTCCATATTTAGATTATTTACCTTATCTTTGCTTCCTCCACTTCAAACCTGTTATATGCTGTTTGGAATTTACTGTATGGTCTAAAAGTCTTGAGAAATTCTTTTTTTGGTGTGTTTTCTAGGCAGAGGAAGAAGGTTATTTTGAAGCTTTCAAAAATGAACTTGAAGCTTTCAAGTCAAGAGTAAGACTTTATTCTCAATCACAAAGTTTTCAACCTATGACAGTTCAGAATCATGTTCCCCATTCTGGTGTTGGATCTATAGGTTTATTAGAATCCTTACCACAGGTAAGTTGGAAAAGTAAATAATTATTTTGTAAGTGTATTAGTTCACTTAATTTTGTTATTTTGGCCCACTCTTTCTTATATACATGTGACCATTTTAAATATTCTTACCCCAGATGATGACTCTGATTCTCATTTCATGCCATGTTTGGGCACTGAATTTCTTCTACCTTTAAGTATTTGATAAGGTACAAAATTCCATCTCCTTTTAATGAAGAAACAAGTTGTACCTAAGTATTCTTAGAGGCAAGTACTACCTATCAGTTATTTTAATCATAAACTGTTTAAGATGGCTCCCTGAGGAGCTTCCTGAGAGTATCTGCTTTTGAGTAGACGTTTGGAAGAAAAATCTTACTATAATAATAACATCCCATTTTTATATCAGTTTATAGGTTTCAAAACACTTCTATATGTTATGTCATTTAATCTTCTCAAAAACCCTGTGATTCATTTTCAATCATTTTTTATAGATGGGTAAACTGAAACTCATGGATGTTAAGTAATTTATCTGAAGTTAGCAGAATAAATGATGGAGATAATATTCTAATCTTGGATTTCTATTATACGTGACTGCTTACTCACCCACACCATAGACTGTTTATTGAATCATGTACTACAAATAGGAAAAACAGTCATGAACTCTTGGGAAGAACTTGTCACTGGGACAAGAAATATGTTGAGAATATTATTATCTGAGAATATGGGGCAATAAGTGGAACTGAAGCATAGATTAGATTAAGTTAGGTATACTGATTGTAGTTTTGGAGAATTCTATTACTTAGAATTCTGTCATGGATTCTGAAACCCAGTCTTAGTAGAGTAATTATAAGCTCTTCCAGAGAATTAGGCCTGGATTGTCAGAAAGGTCTTAACATGGTTTTTGGAGAAGAGGATAATATAACAATATTGATCCTTTTTTAATAAAGCTTAACCCTTTAGCTTTTCTTTTTGTAATTGACAACAATCTTGTGAAATAAGTCAAATATTATTTTTTCAGAAGGCTAACCTTGGATATAGATATAAGTAACAGTTACTTAGATTTATCCTTTAGACTATCCTATAGTCTACTTTTAATTTCATTAAATTGTGATGTATTTTTTTTCTCCGAGGATTGCGTTACTAAATAGAGGCAGGAAATAGGAACTGAGGTCTTTTTTTTTTTGGCTTTTACAATAAAGGGCTATCACAAAGTATTGTACTTATTAGGAGGCTCTTTTGAAAACCCTGCCTCCCTATGGGATGGGGAAGTTTAAGACAACTATTCTATTTGGACTATTTTCCTCATTGCTGTTTATTAAATAAAATAAACATAAATAAAACTAGGTAATACAGGAGTAAAAGTCTTAAGTAACTAGCAGATATTCAGAACAGCTTAGGAGACAAAATTGAATTCTTGGGGATGAATTTCCTAAAGTTCTGGATCTTAAGTACTTGTCTTCATTCATGGCGCTTTAACAAATAATGGTTTTGTTTTCACATTTATTGAATAAGATTTTATGTTTTCTGTTCCTAGTTTTAGAAGTGATCAAACATACTTTTTATGAGTTCTCCTTGTTTAAAAATAAATAAAACCTACACTGTTGTTTTATTCTCAATCTTAAAAATAGAGGTCTAAGTACCTTTCAAAAAGATTAAAGGTTTCTCACTGAGTTTGTTTTAATCTGTGGGAAATCAAAACAGACCCCAAAGATAACCATAATTTTTGCTCAGTAAACTGAGTTTTTGCTCATTCAAATGTTTTGCATTTTTTGTATTTACTGTTGTAATTAGATAGTAATCTTCAAAGTACCTTGCTAGCTTAAAGCCATATTATTTAAATTATTGGTAGCTGTGTACATGTAATCACATGAAAGTTGTAGCCTTGTATGATTAATTTGTAGTTTTGTTTAAAGGAGAAAAAAGGTGTGGTGTTTGTTACGTTTCTGTTTTTCATATGTATCTTTTATCATATCTCTGGATTAAGTGATACCCTATTTTTTCTTTATTTTCTTGGGTTTCAGCCCAAGTCTGATTCTAAAGTCCATCTTCTTTCCTACTTGACTACACTGCAGAGAAATAAGAGAATGTGAAACTGAATGTGTGTGGATGTGCTGGCATAAAACTGGTTATCATGCTTTATTTTTCCATCTTTTTTTTTTCAGAATCCAGATTATCTTCAGTATTCTATTAATACAGCTCTCTGCAGTTTAAACTCAGTGGTACATAAAGATGATGATGAACCCAAAATGATGGACACTGTATAATTTGGTTAAGACTGCTGAGGCCAAGTGCTATTTTGTTACAAGAAAGGAAGAACTTGGCTATTTTATTGACACTTTTATGGGTGCTGCACTTTATTTTTGTTTGGTTTTTGATGGGAGGGGGAAAAAAAGAGTACTGAAACGTTTTGTAACTTTTTTTTATGTGCTGCTAGGTTTTTTGTTTTGTTTTGTTTTTTTCTGAAGAGAGGAGTGGTACCATATGTTGCAGGAAGTCAAACTGGACTTTTTTTTTGCTACTAAATTTGCCTTTAATCTTATTGTTCTCAATTTTGGAATCAAAGTATGAAAATCTGCACAAATGCAATGTTTACAAGAACTGGTTGATTTTAGGAGGCATCTGCTACAGTCTCTTTTTCTATGGATATATACATGTCCTACTCTACAAAAAAATGATTAAAGATAAAAATGTACTTGTATCCCACTGCTCATTTAGCTGTCGAATCTGGTGTTTCATCATATTAAAAGCAATAAATAAGTAGTTGGTAATCTATTTTACTAAATAAGTTGGGTAGTACAAATTTTAAAAAGTCTTTTCTCTTTAAAGAATATCACATTTGTATTTTCGGCACCATCAGTTAAATCCTTGACTATAATACAGATTTGATATAAAGACATTACATTTACTCCCAAGTAGTCTTAAAACTGTGTTCCTTTGAATTTTTGATTTTACCCTGTCGACTTCTTAATCTTAAGGGTTATAGTGTTAATCAGAAATGATGAGCTATTATAGATTTTCTTTTTAAATAAGATTAACTTCAAGCTCATTCTTAATTTCTTTACTTGACAGTCTGGGATCTCTCAGGGAATAAGTTTCAAAAGAATACTAATGGCCTGTAATAACAGATAGGAATAATAATCTGATTTTTAAACTAATAATTGTTTCACTCTGATGCAGCCTTTTGAAAAAGAACTCTTTGAAAAGGCCTTTTTTAGCCAGATGTGTTGGCTCACACCTATAATCCCAGCACTATGGGAGGAAGCGGTGGGAGAATTGCTTGAGCCCTGGAGTTGCGGGCCTGCTTGGGCAACATAGTAAGACCTCATTTCTACAAAAAATTAACCAGGTGTGGTGATGCAAACTTATAGTCTCAGCTACTCAGGAAGCTGAGGTGGAAGGATCGCCTGAGTTCAGGTGTTCAGGGCTGCGGTGAACCACAATTGTGCCATTGCACTGCAGCCTAGGTAACAGAGTGAGACCTTGACTCAAAAGGGGGGGGGCGCATTGAGAAATCTTGCAGAGCTAACTGTCTTGAGCTGCCCACCTACTTATTTCTAAGAATTTGGTGACCTTAGTAGTAATGGCATTTACTGCATTTGTCATTTCTCTCTTTAGCTCAGTTACCATAGAATGTTTCTGAGCCTTGCTACTTCCTATATAATTCACATAAATTATGCCAGGATATTTGATGATTCATTTTATTTAGAATTAGATAACTGCCAATTATGCTATCCTTATTTGAGGATTAATCCTCTGACTTAAAGAAACAAGAGCTCTGATGGTATCACGAGAGCTTTGATTGTAGTTGTGTGTATGTAGTCTTTGGCTCAGTGCCTATTAATAAGACAAGTAGCAAACATTTGGAAGTGGAAGCTGGCCACCTGAAATTAGGAATTTGTGTCTCAACTTGAGAAACCAAATACTAAGGGACCTATATGGTGATCAGACCTGTGACCTTGGCCTCATTCGTACCTTGTTTTAACTGAGGTGATCAGGCATTTAGTACCCATAGAAATGGACTGGAATTATTGAATCATACTTCCTCTGTAAGATCACAATCTTCCTAGTTTTCAGAATGAAAGTCTTTGTGCTTTTGATATAAATATATACTCTATAATAAAATGTTTGACTAATTTATATGGTAGTATTCAATCAGCTTGTAATTTATTTTTATACTAATGACCTAGTCATAAAACTTTTCCTTTTTTTTCTGTTCTGGAGCAAGTTCTTGTTTTTCCTTTCTGCCAAGTTGAGAGAATGGGCAGACACAGGAGCAAAATTCCCGGTTTCACAGAAATGTTACTTGAACCTTTGTTTTCCATTGCTTCCCAGGACTTGCCTGCAAGCATCCAAATTGTCTCGAATTTCATTTTGCCTTCTTTAAGTTAGAGGTATTAATAACTGAAGACTGATGAGAAAGTATCAACAAACTGAGCAAACTATATTCCTGAAGGATTTTGTTTTTTAAATCAGGAATTGCTGAAGAGTTGTTCTTTAAATTTTAACTATATATATATTTTTTGACTTTCTAAGGACACTGTTCTGTGATTTGAGATGAACATGTGATTGGGTTTGTTTTGGGAACCACTGATGCCAAACTTAAAGACTAACTTTTGCATAGTTAATAGTTAATAGCACTAATAACAGTAGTTATTTACTGCTAATAACAATAAATTGACATCCTTTATTTTGCTTTAGTACTAAGAACTAATTTCTACCAAATGAAATGTACTCTTTTTTGTTTCTTAAGAAATAACAAAGAAGAGGATACTAAACAAAGACGTAATTCACATTTCAGGTTGGACAATTTGCCCTAAACAAATGAAACCACAGAAAGTGCAAACAGATGAATGAAACATCTTTGACATCAAAATATCCATCAAAGATTCTTGTTTCATTTGATAAAATTAATCTTCTAATAAAAGATCTTTTAAAAATCAGATAGCTATCACTTCACTCCATTTATTCTGTTAACTCTATCATTTTATCAGTGGATTGGAGATAATACTGATTATCAATTACTTTATAGATGAGTATATTCTCTTCCGATTATACCATTAGTGAGCTCTCTCAAATTTTGCCTAAGGAGCTCACAGTCTTATAATTTCTCTTTGGGAAAATCAGGCCCTCTTCTTCTTTTAGACTAGCATTCATATTACCCTTTTGAGTTAACATGCTGCCCAAAGAACATGAATTTGTTCTAGCAAATGGGTTTTCTTACAGGATGAAAAAATTGTGGTCTAGGCAGGATGATCCTGAAATTAACCTTGGGTATTTTCATAGAACAAAAAAATGTCAATTTACTATTCTCAAAGTAAGTCATGTGTTTCAGTTCTCGAACTGACGGGAGACAAAAATGCTATCTGAGTGTGTTAGGCATTCCATTTCAATTTTGCCACTATATTAAACATACCCTTAAGTCTTATGCATCCATTTCCCATCTGCAATGGGCAGGTTTGTCCTATTTCATAGGTCTTCTGAGAAGCTGATCCATCTAATAAGTATTTGTTTGCTTACTGAGTGGGGCAGGGGGATGCGGGGGAAGGAGGTCACAAAGTTGAATATCAGTTGATTATGGATTGCTTACCATTTAATTTGAATTTGAAACAGTTCTCATAAGCCTGGGAGAATGAGACCTGAAGTTTGGTCTTTTCTAAATATAGAATATGATTTTTTAAATTCCCACATCTTTCACTTCGTTTCTTTAGACAGCATGATTCATGCTATTTACAATTCAGACACTTACTTGAAATCCTTTGGGAAAAAAATGACACAATGCTGGCGTGATTTATACTTTGGCGTGACAATTTAACTTTACTCAGTGCTATATATGGAAAACTCATCAATAGTGGGCTAAAAAAAAAAAAGATAAGAACTCTACTAAGCATATTGACTTTTACTAGAAAGTTTAAGCACAGCTGGAATATTTTAACTTGTTAAAAAATTTTAAATCAGCTGGGCTCGGTGGCTTAAACTGTAATCCCACACCTTGGGAGGCTGAGGTGAGTGGACTGCCTGAGCCCGCGGGTTCGAGACCCACCTGGGCAACTTGGTGAGACCTCATCTCTACAATAAATCAAAAAATTAGCCAGGTGTGGTAGCGCGCACCTGTAGTTCCAGCTACTTGGAAGACTGAGGTGGAAGGATTGTTGGAGCCCCGCTGGTCGAGGCTGCGGTGACCAGGAGCGGCCACCGCACTCCAGTCTGGGCGAGAGTGAGACTCCAATGGGAAAAAAAAAAAATTTTTTAAATCATAAGTTCCAAGATGAAAATATTTAATGACAAAGATATCAGTGTCCGAGGATATTTATTTTGTCAATGAGAAGACACAACTTATAAGCATGTTTTAAAATACAAACTTATTTTTGCTGTTGGTTGCAAGTATTACAGCAATTTAATATAATTTGAGGTCTGTAATTACAATGATTTGCTAAGTATAGGGCAATTTGTCACAAGCTACGAGGGTCTAAAATATTTTGTTGGAATGCCATTATATGTAGCTTGAGGGAAAGTAGCCACAGGGCTGGGGTTTAAAAACTTGAGCCAGTATTAACCTATTTCAGATAGAATTGGGAGCTGAAGTAACGTTTCTGGATGATACTAATGACTGCCAATTTGCAGGTCCCATAGCACACTTCTGCTTAGAAAAGGTGTATCAAAATAACTGTTACTTCACAAAATAGGGTAATGATTTAAGGTACTATTCTTATTAGCCTTTAATGCATAGTAGTTTCTCCCAGCTGTGATATTTAGCTCCAGATGTGTATTTCCATATGATTATCATAAATCATAATTATGGTCATTACAGCTTTTCTTTTTTCTTTTTTTTGACTCAGAGTCTCAACTCTGTCGCCCAGGTTGGTGTGCAGTGACACTCTCATGGCCACCGCAGCCTCGACCTGCTGGACTCAGGCAACCCTTCCACCTAAGCCTTTCAAGTAGCTGGAACGACAAGTATGCGCCACCACGCCACCACACTCAGCTAATTTTTCTTGACTTATTGTAGTCTCACCAAGTTGTCTGGGCTGGTCTCGAACCCCTAGACTCAGGCAATCCTCTGGCCTTGGCCTCCCAAAATGTTGGGATTACAGGCTTGAGCCACCAAGCCCGGCCTTTTTGTTGGGGGGGCATTGGAGTCTCACTCTGTCGCCCAGACTGGAGTGCAGTGGCACGCTCAAGGCCACCACAGCCTCGACTTGCTGGACTCATGATCCTTCGCCTCAGCCTTCCAAGTAGCTGGAACTACAGGTACACGCCATCATGCCCAGCTAATTTTTTTGATTTATTGTAGAGACGAGGTCTCACCAAGCTCCCCCGGCAGGTCTCGAACCCGCGGGCTCAGGCAAATCCACCCGCCTCAGCCTCCCAAAGTGCTGGGATTACAGGCTTGAGCCACCGCGCCCAGCCTTTTTTTTTTAAAAAGCAAGATACCCTCAGCAATAGTATTCTTAGGCAGTTGATGTCTGTGACATCAACACATTCAGCAGAAAACAAATTCTTTACTGTTTTAATAAAGGAAAAAAAAAAAAAACCATCAGCTGGGCTTGGTGGTTCAGCCTGTAATCCCAACACTTCAGGAGGCTAAGGTGAGTGTATTGCCTGAGCCCGCGGGTTTGAGACCAGCCTGGGCAACTTGACCAGACCTCGTCTCTACAATAAATAAAAAATTAGCTGGGTGTGGTCGCGCGTCTGTAGCTCTGGCTACGTGGAAGGCTGGAGTGGAAGGATCACCTGAGCCCTGAGGTCAACGCTGGGGTGGCCGTGCACGTGCCACTGCACTCCGGCCAGGGCCACGGAGTGAGACTCCAACTCAAAAAAAAAAAAAAAGTCATAGGCATTTCCCAAAGTAACGAATGTATGTGCAAACCCTTAGGCTAAGTGTTTTGGGACTGGGGAGGGAATGGTTATAGGGAAGAGCCTTATTTTTCATACCCATATTCTTCCACTCCTCCCTTTGCTTTCCAAATCTCCTTAGGGTACCAAGAAGGCCAGTATGGCTACTGTAACAGGAGATCAAGTATTGCATAAAATGAAATCAGCCAAAGTACTGTTTTAAGACAATTTATTAGAACACAGTCATTCATTTAGAAACCAGTGAGACATCAGAGTGGCAGAAAGGAAGTGGGATGGAGGAGGCCCTGTGAAGGACCAAAGACAAAGTAATAGCCACAGTTAGGAAATTTCATTGTATTCTGATAAAGACTACTGTATACCCAATAAGCTAGTGATAATCCATACATTTAGTAGTTCACAACATTTTTAGAAAGCACAATGCTAAGATTCAATTAAGGCATTACAGAAAGTTCTATAAAGAAGTGTTGACTATAATTCTTCTTAAAAACCTTGGTTCGTTTTGAAAGACCAATGAATTTTTTTAAAATCTAAAGAAATGGAAAAGCTTTTCCCCCCAAAATACTAAGAACCACTTGCTGGCATTTGTATTTTAAGTGCTTGGAATAAAATGGATCACGTTTTCTTTTTCTTTTTTTCTTTTTTTGAGTTAGAGTCTCACTCTTGCCCAGGCTGGAGTGCTGTGGCATGTTCATGGCCACTGCAGTCTCAACCTGCTGGGCTCAGGCAATCCTTCCACCTCAGCCTTCCAGGTAGCTGGAACTACAGACATGTGCCACCATGCCCAGCTAATTTTTTAATTTATTGTAGGGACAAGGTCTTGCAAAGTTGCCCAGGTTGGTCTCAAGTCTGTGGGCTCAGCCAATCCTCTCACTTCAGCCTCCTAAAGTGCTGGGATTACAGGCGTAAGCCACTGCGCCCAATAGGGCCACATTTTCAAAGGCAACTAATAACAGCTTGTACAAGGGTTGTTTCATTTGCTTTAGCACCAAGTGAAGTAAAAGTAAATATGCCACAGAAGTCATAGTTGGATTTTTCTTCCAGCTCTCATATTGCCCCACTTATACCAGGCCAAAGTACATAAGCATGCATCCTTGTTGCCCCTCTAATGAATCTAAAAGGATTGTTTTTTAAATGGCTGCTCAGATGACACCAGCAGAGCTCTTTCCCCTTATGACAGAGCAGGTGAATACTAGTACGTATCAGTTTCTTTGGGAATAAAAAAAAACCCCTTCAGCAAATTCAGTTATTTATCCTTGTTAACCTATCATGTAAATTCTTTTTATTGCTATACTTGTTTATGCCTATTATGGCTATTTATGCCAAGGGAGTATGCCCCAGGCATACCTGGTCTATTGCCTAAGGACAAAGTATGCTTAATGCCATAGGTTTTCTCTTACTCTTTCTGTTTTCCTTTGCTTATCTATCTGTCAGTACTGTAACTTGTTATTTATCGAGGCAGATCATACATTTGAATCAAATAGAGAAACTGGCAAGTAAATCCTAAAACATTTATTAATCTGAGTAACATCTTTCTGTTGAAAATTCATCCAACTTTGGTGCTTACCCAAGAACTTATAATGTCCATTTATGACACAAGTGATATCCCTCAGTATGTATGTATTTTCAAAAGAAAACAAATTTTAAAACAATATTTTTCCTATATGCTAATTGATACATTTTTATAGCAAACTGAGACTTCTGAGTAAACTGAAGGTATGTGTAACAACAAAATATGACTAGGTTATACAACAAGATATGGCTAGATTATACATTTTTTAGTGTAAAGGCAGCAGTGAATTTGTATCTCGCAACAAAGATAATACAGTTTTTTTCTGGAATTGTATATAGTGTCTCATCACAAAACCATAATACACAGTGCTGGAAATGTCTTTTTTGGCATCAGTCTATGCAAAAACCTCATGAGATATTTTCCCCAAGTGACATGTAATTTTAAAAAAACTTTTCCAGAAAAATATAGGAATGTTTATCAAACACTTATTCTTACTGAACAAAAAGTTAGATTACTACCAATTGCTCTTTTAATTTTGCCTTAACAGATGTTTTAAAAATTTAGATAGCTCTGATGTTTTTGAATTGAACATCCATGGAAGATAACTGGATAAAACACTAGATCATTTCAAAAAATGAATCTTAGTAGCTGACTCATTTGGCACATCCTTAGTATCCAGAATAAAATCAGTAGAAATAAAAGTAACATAATTTTCATATAATTCCTACATGCTGTAGTCTTAGGAAAAGGAGCTTCTAACTGCAAGGACAAGGAGGCTCTGCCCATCTTACTAGTTCCACGCATTTCTCCTCATGGGGAAACTGAAGCTTTCTGGTTTATTTGTGGAACTTTAGTTTGTAGAAAAGCATATACATGGGGCCAAATCTTGTTGGTTTCTGTTCCAGAGAATGTTTCCAACACCCCTTTTCTCCTAAAGATGAAAAACAAAGAAACAAAACAAAAATAAACACAGGTCTGAGTCTTCCTAATGAATTTTTCACAACTCTTCCGTAAGTGATGATAATGTGGATTTAGGAATCTGTAAGGGTAGGGCTGTGTGATCCCGAGAGAAAGCCTAGGCATTGGACAATCTAGATTTTGGTTTCAGTTGTGACTTCTAGCATACAGAAGTGGGCATCTGGCTGGACTCGGTGGCTCAGCCTGTAATACCAGCGCTTGGGAGGCCGAGGTGAGTAGACTGCCTGAGCCTGCGGGTTCGAGACCCGCCTGGGCAACTTGGCGAGACCTCATCTCTACAATAAATCAAAAACCAGCCGGGTGTGGTAGTGCGCGCCTGTAGATCCAGCTACTTGGAAGGCTGAGGCGGAAGGATCGCCAGAGCCCAGCAGGTCGAAGCTGTGGTGGCCGAGAGCATGCCATTGTACTCCAGTCTGGGTGACAGAGTGAGACTCCAACTCAAAAAAAAAAAAAAAGTGGGCACTTAATAGCACTGAGGCTGGGTGCGGTGGCTTACACCTGTAATCCCGGCACTTGGGAGGCTGAGGTGGGAGGATTGTGAGCCCAGGAGTTCAAGGCCAGCAACCAGGGCAACATAGCAAGAGCTTGTCTCTACAAAAGAAATAAAAATGTTAACCGAGCATGGTGGTATACGCCTGTAGCCACAGCTACTCGGGAAGCTGAGGTGGAAGGGTTGCCTGAGCCCAGGAGGTTGAGGCTGTGGTGAGCTGTACTGTGCCACTGTACTCCGGCCTGGGTGACAGAGTGAGACCCAAACTCAATAATAATAGCACCTATCATTTATTGAGCATGTACTGTGTTCAACCCCCTGCTAAGTGCTTTACACATAACAGTTCATCTAATCCTTTCCCAAAGCTGACATTTTCTTCTATTACTGATAAAACTGTCTCTTCTGTAAAGTACGTTAGCCCAAATCACTAAGTTGGTAGATTTCCAAACAGAAGCCGTGAGACACCCGGACACCCCCTTGGCTTTCCTTGCCTACGTACTCCTTTGCAGGAACAGCTTTCTAATACTTCATATTCTTCCTTTTCAATTAGGTTTATTTTTTCCTCTATTCTCCCTTTTTGAATTTTAACAGAAAGTGGAATAAAGTATTGGTTTTATTGATTTTCCTATTAAGTTTCTCCATTTCTCCCTTGGCAAATTTGTCTGCCTTTTCACAAGACAGCAGCCAAAGTCTATCTTATTTATTCCAGTTTCCTGTGGGTCCATGGTGAGGAGTGAGGATCAAGGTCCTGGGGCTGCCTTTCAAGCCACACAGATTCCCTCCAGAGATTCTGGCCTTCCTCTTGCTAACCGCCCTCCCTCCAACCCATGCACACACCCACACTTAACACACACGGGCTTAAAGGCTGCAGGGCAGCAACCCAAGAACTCTGGTTTATTACTTTTTGAAAACAGGATCCGTCATACCTTTGCAACCCTTCCTACTAGGTTTCCAGAGGTTTCACTGGGGACAAAAGCATTTTTTTCTTGATACCTTAAAAAATTTACCACAGTTAACACCCACTATTTTCTTGGTAAGAAACATCTGCTAAGGAGAGAATTATGCATATACAGTACTCTTTGGCTATCAGAAAGCCTCCTGCTTCTAAATTCACTAAAGCCCCTGGTAAAGCTTTGAAAAGAACAAGCTTCTTAACTGTTGAAAGCCTCTTGAAGAGCCACTTAAAATCAAGCCAGTGTCACAAGTGGATTAATTACTGAGGGCACAACTGCAGGCACCTATTCAATCTCAAAGCTGTATCATGGATGAACATTTGTCATTTTAATTTCTGTGTAATAAAATGGAACCAACTTCAACAATTGGTCCTCCAAAGAGTGAGAGCATCAAGTTTTGATAAACATAGACCAATTACTCTATGAATGTCCCACAGCTGAGATTTTTAAAAGCCAATAACGCAACTGTCAGCATTAAAATAACAATCCTGACTATTACTAAGTTTCTTGCAAATACCACTTTCAGTGTTTAGTTAAATCCAACCCTGGTTCTGTGCATGAGAGCTTAGAAAGAAAGACTTGAGGAAGCCTAAAAACACAAAGTCATCCGAATCCTTCTTTTCATTTCTGCAACCTTCTCCAACTTCCCTTCGCGTATTTTAAAAAAAAAAAATTTTTTTTTTTTTTTTGAGACAGGGTCTCACTCTGTAGCCCAGGCTGGAGCACAGTGGTGCAATCATAGCTCACTGTAGCCTCGAACTCCTGGTTCAGAGGCAGAAGGATGACCTGAGCCCAGGAGGTTGAATTTATAGCACTGTCATCCTCCCATCTCAGCCTCCCAAATAGCTGGGACTATTGGCACGTGTCACCATGCCCGGCTAACCTTCCCACATTTTGATAGAACTAATCCCAATCAGGCCTGATACTTCCACTATACAGGGGATTACCTCTATTCATAGCCTTGCAATGGTGTTACCCTGCCCAGGAACAATGCATTCCCCCTTCTCCTGGTTACTTTTGGGAAACAATCTCTCTGCCAAACTCAGTCCGTAGTAAATTCAGCTGAGAGTGCCTCCACGCCTCATCTTCAAGGAAGAACACAATCAGAGCTAATTGGCGCCAACCAACCCCAGGACTTTTGTTGGCAAATAAGGCTCTTTTCTCTGGGCTCCCTGAACTGGTAGGAGACAAGCTGGAGTGTTGAGGGGCTGCCACACAGGGAGAATCCACCTGAGACAGAAGCCAACACAGGACAGTGGAGAGGAGTGGCTGAGGCCTGGTGACACTTTTTGGACACCTAGACCTAGCCATCTACTTTTGGACTTTTTAGTTACATGCCCCATACGTTCCCCTTGCACTTAAACAAGAGTGAATTAGGTTCCTGATAGCATGTACCACATTGTATGATAAATACTATTTACCTAGCTCACTGCCTTACAAACAGAAGGTGAGTTTCATGGGGCTTGATAAGGACTGGGTCGAATTGTCTATATGGATTAAAGGCCTAGCACAGTGTCAACAGAGTAAATAATAATCGCTGACGCTGAGTGACTGAATAGACGCCAGGTCTGTTGTCTTTCCAGGGTCTCTCAATTAATTCCTTTAACAACCCTGCAATACGGGTACTATTTAATATTGCCTGATTTTACAAATAAGTAATTTAGGGCATGGAGGTTAAATACTTTTCCCAGGGCCACAAAGCTGGTAATTTGCGGAGCCAGGCTCATTATACCAATCACAAAATTATAGTAACAGCTACTGTAAAAAATGAATTGCTACCTCCCTTATAATTTCACCCTCCAGAAATTACCATTAAAACAGTTTGGAGACTATTGCTTCAGATTTTTACTGCATACTTACCCTATTACAACCATAATAATAATAGGTAACATTTGTATAGTGCTTATTGTATCATGCACAATTCTAAGTGTTACACATACTAACACAATCTCTCAACCCTTTATTCTCACCCTCAATTTATAGAGGGGATAACAGGCAGAAGTAAGCAAGAGGTAAAGGCAAAAGTAGTCAGTTGGGACTTAGGCATTCTGGCTCCAGATTCTATGCTTTGCCCACAACACTAACATGACACTGAATCATTCATTAAGCAAATGAATGAAAGAGGCAATCAGTCTTTGGGAAAGAGACAGAAGGCTGAGTAAAAAACTGCACTGTTTTTAGCCTGAGTCAAGTATTAACGGCAATATGGTTCTCATATTTGTTGTTTGATATGAATTCTCTGCAGAGCAGATAAAACAATGTTAGAATATAAGCTTAGAGACTACTAGCCAAATACATGATCTTAGGGGTTAGCTGCCATTTGAAATTTTTCTGTGCTATGGCGCCCTCTATGGGCAGATGTGGGGGCATTATTAGGTCTTCCTCTCCAGCATTCACTCTAGCCCTCCCTCCCCTACAGACGATCCCCGATTTAGGATTATTTGATTTAAGATTTCTCGGCTTAAAGTTGGTGCAAAAGCAATCCCCATTCAGGAGTACTTCGAGTACCCATACAACCATTCTGCTTTTTACCTTCAGTCCAGTATTCAATTACATGGGCTATTTAACACTGTATTATAAAACAGGCTTTGTGTTGGATGATCTTGGCCAACTGTAGGCTAATGTGAGCGCTCTGAGCACTTTTAAGGTAGAAAAAGCTAAGCGATGATGTTCGGTATTTTCAAATTGCAATGGGTTTATCAGGATGTAATTCCACTGTAAATTGAGGGGTATCTATCTGTACATAGCAGAGTTTGAATGAGATTGACCCACCCCAGCTCTGGGTGTGAACCAAGCAGTATAATCACTGTAACCTTCCCACCTCAGTGATTGGTTCAGTAATGGGTAGTAATTCTGGCTCAAAACAGTGAATGCCAGGCACTCCCTGACTACAAGGATGTTCATGTGGTTCAATCTGAGTGATGCTTGGAGCTTATTTCACTGGGAGAAAGGTTACCCTTAGCCTTTCAGAAAAGAGGGCTGTTCCTGCTAATGTCTGCAACCATGCAGGAAGCCTGAGGACAAAGTCAACACACAGGAAGGCAAAGCCAAGAGAGTGGCAAAACTCTTGATAGAGCCTAGTAGTGACTGACACCCACCCTACCTTCTAGGCTTCTGATACACCAGCTGATACGTTTCCTTTGTTGCTTAAGCTAATCTGAATGGAGTCTTCTGGTATTTTAGCATTTCAGCTGTAAAGCTTCAGTATACAAGAGAAGGTCAGAAAAGCAAAAACTCACTGGTAATACTCCAGGACTGGCTCCGTTTGGGCTTCATAAGCCTTTAGTCTCTTGACAACCGTCTCTGGTTTATCATCCTCACGCTGAACCAGAGGCTCCCCAGTCAGATCATCAATGCCCTAAACGGGGGTTAGAAGAGACTGATGTCAAATGTCATATTTTTGAAGGATACTTTTATAAGCAGTTCAATTATTTTTTAAACAGACTTCTCTGTGCCAGCACCAAGCACAAAAATGGGCTTATTAAAGAAACAGAATCCAATCTACAGACAGATCATTGCAACCCAGAGATGAGACATCCCAGTATCATTTTCATAGTTATCAGTCACCTCCTCCCTAGATTAAAAGGCTTTCCAACTGAGTGTGATGGCTCGTGTCTGTAACCCCAGCACTTTGGGTGGCTGAGGTGGGAGAATTGCTTGAGCCCAGGAATTTGAGACCTGCCTGGGCAACAGAGAGAGATCTCATTTCTATTTAAAAATAAACATTAATAAAAAGGCTTTCTAACCAACTTCTAAGTAAATTCAGCTATAGACCAGGAATCTTAACTGAAAGCCCTAAGTAAGCCAAGGTGTTATAAATCTCTCACATCCCAACCCCTAATACACTCCCTGGCATAGAGTAGGAAACCAGTAAATGTTTTTGAATGAATACCCCTGTTGCTCCTGGGGCACCTTTGCCACCAAGTTGAGTGGACTAGACCAGTCAACTATCCAAGTACCCTGGGATTACATCTCCAGGAATTTTGGTCAGGGAGAAGTATGGATTCCCAGGTTCACAAATATGTCTGTGCAGGCAAGAAGACTTGGGAACAGTCTGCTACGTGCCAGTTGTATGACAACTACTCACCACAGTTTTGGGAGGGTTGAACTCAATGTTGTAGACTCGGCCACTGGCAGGATGAATCCAGCGAGCAGTGAGGCGTTGTTTAATGACCTCAAAGGGCACATTCAGGTTAATCACTGTGTCTATCTGATAAGTTCTATCTAAGGCTTCTGCCTGTGGAAGTGTCCTTGGAAAACCTATATAAAGTTTTTTAAAAAATAAAAGAAAGAAAAGGAAGCAAAGGAGGAAGAGAAGGAAAAGAGACAGAGAGAATAAAGTAAAAACTTAATGTTGGGCAATCTGAACAAAATGAGTAACACCAGGCAGGTTGATCACAGCTGTAGTTCAACTATGTGCTAACCTGACTGGGCCATGAGGTACTTGGATATTTGGTCAAATATTATTCTGGCTGTGTCTGTCAGGGTGTTTTTGTAGGAGCTTAACATGTATAGGTAGACTGAGTAATGCAAATTGCCCTTCCTAACGTGGGTGGGCCTGAATTAAGTTTTAAGATCTGGATAGAACAAAAGGCTCACCCTTCTCCCAAATAAGGGAGAATTCCTTTTGCATGACTACTTTCTAACTGGGACATGCACTTTTTCTTGCCTTTGGACTCAAAGTGAGCTAATCAGTATCACTCAAACTCAAGAGTCTATTTTTGGAATATGACAAAATAATATTAAAATTCAGTTAATAGAAAACTATTAATGCAAAAGAACAAACTCTGACACATAAATAGACGTATTATATAGCTAAATAGTGTGGTTCAAAAATACAGAGACAGGCAAATGCTGATTAGTGAATCCAGAAATAGACCCATCATGTATATTGGGGAATTTAATACTTTGTTCCCAAGTTTTTGACTCTGCAAGTTGTTTCTAAGGACATTTTGTCCAGGACACTGGGAAAAATTAAAATTGGTAGAAATAATTATTTTCAAAAGTGACAAAGGTTAAAACTGTACATATTCTAATTTGTTAGAGTTAAAAATACTGTCTGAAAAATTACATTTTCTTGTTAACAATGAAAATGTGAAAAAATTTGCTAGTGACCTAGACCTTATAATGTGCTAAAATAACAATGGAAATATCTAAAACTCGGCCGGGCTTGGTGGTTCAGCTTGTAATCCCAGCACTTTGGGAGGCTGAGGTGATTGGATTGCCTGAGCCCACGGTTCGAGACTTGTAGTAGTTCTGGTTACTTGGAAGGCTGAGGCGGAAGGATCACCAGAGTCCAGCTGGTCGAGGCTACGGTGGCCGGGAGCGTGCCAGTACACTCCAGCCTGGGCGACGGAGTGAGACTCCAACTCAAAAAAAAAAAAAAAAAATCTAAAACTATATTAAAACTTGGATTTGGGAGAAAAACAGCCCTCAGGGAAAGCTTATAATGGCAAAAGTGCAGTCTTTAAAATTATATATAGCCCCTGAAATAAATACAAAATAAAGTATTTATTATAAAATATACACTTAAGTAATTATCCTGGTGAAAACAATTTTAGTACAATTAATGAGAACAACTAGAATGTAATTGCTAAATCTCTTGAGAGTTTTCTAGATGCCAGGCACTGTATGCCAAGTTTTTTGTTTTTTTTTTTAGCTGGTGTCTCACTCTGTCGCCCAGACTAGAGTGCAGTGGCTGCTCCCGGCCACTGCAGCCTTGACCTGCTGGGCTCCGGCGATCCTTCCACCTCGGCCTTCCAAATAGCTGGAACTACAGGCGTGTACTACCATGCCCAGCTAATTTTTGATTTATTGTAGAGATGAGATCTCGCCAAGTTGCCCAGGTGGGTCTCGAACCCACTGCCTCAGGCAATCCACTCACCCCAGCCTCCCAAAGCGCTGGGATTACAGGCTGAGCCACCAAGCCCAGCCTGCCAAATGTTTTATAAGGATCACTTCTCCGTTAACCATCATAACTATCCTAAGAGAGGTACTATTATTCTCATTATACAAATGAGGAAACTGAGGCACGGTGAGGTTAGGTAACTTTTTCTAGCTCACAGACCTATTAATTAAGTGATGGAAGTGGGGGTTTTTTGTTGTTATGGTTGTTTGTTTTGTTTTGAGTCAGAGTCTCACTCTGTTGTGCAGGTGGAGAGAAGTGGCACCAGCCACAGCAGCTTCAACCTGTGAGGTTCAGGTGATCCTTCCGCCACAGCCTTCCAAGTAGCCAGAACTTCAGGTGCATACCACTATGCTCAGCTAATTTTAAAAATTTTTCTTGTAGAGACAAGGTCTCACCAAGTTGCCCAGGCTGGTCTTGAACACCTGGATTCAGGCCATCTTCTCGGCTCTGCCTCTGAAAGTGGTGGGATTATAGCCATGAGCCAAGAGCCACCACGCCTGGCTGCAGGTGGGAGTGAAACACAAGCTGTCTAACCTAAATGTTCCTCAGTAGGAAATTACTTAAATTACGATACAGACTTAAAATGCAAGCCTATGCATCTTTATTTCAATGAGGCAAATTCATCTGTTAAATATATTCAATGAGGCCATACACATTGGCTCATGCCTGTAATCCAGGCACTTTGGGAGATAGAGGCGAGAGGATTAAGCCCAGGAGTTTGAGACCAGCCTGGGCAACATAGCCAGACCTGGCATGGTGACAGGTATCTGTAGTCCTAGCTACTTGGGAGGCTGTGATAGAAGGATCACCTGAGTCCAGAAGGTCAAGGCTTCGGTGAGATGTTATGGTGCCACTGCATTTCAGCCTGGGAGACACAGTGAAACCCTAACTGAAAAAAAAAAAAAAGAAATTCAATGAAAAAGCAAAACGTAAAAAGTAGTATAAGTGCATGTGTGTGTATTATATAAAGAAAAAAATATAATATTAGAGAGAGAACTTTAACTAACATCTTATACCAAATATAGTTGCATTGGTGGGTTCTACATCCATGGAGTCAACCAACTTCAGAACAAAAATATTTGGGAAAAAGAAGATAGTAGTACATGTACTTTTCTTCTTGTCATTATTACCTAAACAATAAATTACAACAAACTATTTCCATAGCATTTAATTGCATTAGGTATTATAAGTAAGCTAGAGATGACTTAAAATACATGGGAGGATGTGCAGGAGTTATATGCAAATACTACACCATGTTACATAGGATTTGAGCATCCATGGATTTTGCCACGTGCAGAAGGGCGGGGGGATTTGTGGAACCAATCTCCCTGAGGATACTGAGGACTGCTATACTTTCAAGTATGTGTGTGTATATGTATGTAAATCACTAACTTTAGAAAAAAATCCAGCTGGGCATGGTGGCTCACACCTGTAATCCTAGCACTTTGGAAGGCAGAGGTGAGAGGATTGCCTGAGCCCAGGGATTCAAGACCAGCCTGGGCAATTTGGTGAGATCTCATCTTTACAATGAATCAAAAAAATTAGCTGGGTGTGGTGGTGCGCGTCTGTAGTTCCAGCTGCTTGGAAGGCTGAGGTGGAGGGATTGCCTGAGCCCAGCAGATTGAGGCTGCGGTAGCTATGAGCATGCCACTGCACTCCAGCCTGGGAGACAGAGTGAGACTCTGACTCAAAAAAAATGTCTATTGGAGTTACATACCAAGCAATTAAAAGCAGTTGTTCCTGAGGGATGTGATCATTGAGGACTTTGAGTTTCTCTCTGATACATTTATATCCTGTTTAATTTTTAAAAGGAAAAGGTATTTTTGCAATAGAACCAAAACAATAAATGTTCCACATTCCAGGGCCTTCCCATCTGGCCTGGTCTTTGGCTTATTCCCCCTACACCCTCTAGTGATTACTGTGGGTGGGTCTCAAGGATGACTCTCCACTTTCCTGTGCTGGGCAGCATCAACATTCTGCCTTTGTTTGTCCTGTTCCTGCAGCTTAAACTGACCTATTTCTCCACTCATGTAATTCTACTCATTCCTCAGGACCACCCACAAATCGGAATGTTCCTCAATCCCTCCCTTCTCTTACAGAAGCAAGACTTTTCATTCAACGTTTTAAAATAAAATTTTGAGTTGGGCTCGGTGGCTCAGCCTGTAATCCCAGTGCTTTGGGAGTCTGAGGTGAGTGGATTGCCTGAGCCTGTGGGTTCGAGACCCGCCTGGGCAACTTGGCAAGACCTCATCTCTACAATAAATAAAAAATTAGCTGGGCATGGTAGCACGTGCCTGTAGTTCCAGCTATTTGGAAGGCTGAGGCAGAAGGATCACTGGAGCCCAGTAGGTCAAGGCTGCGGTGGCTGGGAGCGGCCACTGTACTCCAGTCTGGGTGACAGAGTGAGACTCCAACTCAAAAAAAAATTAAGTAAATAAAATAAAATAAAATTTTGAATTCTAAACCATGCAACTGTACTTTCTATCTTAAAAAGAGAGAATAGGTAACAAAGTGCCTACTTCCCTACCACATTACTCTCTATTCACATCCACTTTTAATTTACCGCAAATACTTAGTATCTGCACTTATCCAAGTTTTTGTTTACTTGCATACTACTTGCTTCCTACTAGAATGCACTTTCCATGAGAGCAAGGACTTTAGAGCCTTCTTCTTAGATAAAGCGGGCGACAGGGCTGCAGCGCTTAGTGAGGCTAACACTGAGTATGTGTGTGTGTGTGCGTGAAAGTGGTGAGTATGTGTGTGTGTGCATGAAGGTGGGGGAATGGCATTGAGCAGGAGAGAAGAATATGTAAATAGCAAAAATAGATCAGCGTACCCTCATCTTAAAAAGAAGAATATTATGACTTAGATCTTCTTAAAGAAAAGGGCTTATGCCAATTTTATAAAACAAATCTCTTTTGTATCCACTCTATATAACAAAACTGAAAATCAACCTATCCTCAAGGATTCTACCATACCTTTGGCTAGGGAAAGCTCATAGCTTACTATAAATTCCTTTTAGATCTGATCCTTCCTCATCACAGAATATTCTCAAAAGGAGGAAGGAACGAAAGTTACATCTGAAGGGAGCTTAGAAATCATGCAGTCCACTTCCCTTTCTCCATCTGGATAAAGAACCAGATTCAGAGAAGATGACAGGCACGATGTCTCAGAGTAATGACAGAACTCAGCACTCTGTCTGCCATCCTTGATGAAGTCCATGAAATGCTCCTTTTCCTGCCAGCACTCATAATTTTGGGCACCTGAAATGCTCATGACATCCACTTACCATCCAACAGCCAGCTATATTGCGTGAGATTTTTCAGCTCATGAAGGGCCAACCGAGTCATGACATCATCTGGGATGAGTTTCCCCTGGTCAATGAAAGCCTTGGCTAAAACACCAATTTCTACACCAAAGGGGGGAAAAATAAGTAAGTGGAAACATCTGGATGGCACAACAATATGAAAATGTGCATCATTAATTAACTGTTCTGATAAAAACAGGTTACAAAATAATCTAAACTTATTGCAAATTCTCCATTAGAGAAAAATGCATAAATGTAAATGTATAGACAGAAAAAAATAACACAGAGCTATAGACCAATTGTTAATAGTGGTCAACTCTGTGTGACAGAATTATGGTGATTTTTTTTTACATATTTGCATTTTTCTGTATTTTCTACATTTTCTATCAGAAAAAATATATGAAATAACTGAGATTATTTTCTTCTTAAATAAGAATTTGAAATAGTAATTTTTTGAAGTGGCTCAGTTTTTTATTTGTTTTCTTTTGTTTAAGTCAGAATCTTACTCTGTTGCCCAGGCTGGAGTGCAGTGGCATGCTCACGGCCTGCAACCTCGACATGCTGGGCTCAGGCAATCCTTCTGCCTCAGCCTTCCAAGTAGCTGGAACTACAGGCGTGTGCCACCACACCTGTCTAATTTTATGATTTATTGTAGAGGCGAGGTCTCGCCATGTTTCTGAGACTGGTCTTGAACCCCTGAGCTTGGCAGTCCTCTTGCCTCTGCCTCCCAAAGTGCTGAGATTACAAGCATGAGCCACTGTGCCCAGCAGAAGTGGCTCAGTTTAAGTGCCTGCTATCATATGTCACTGTAGAGATTTTTTCCAATCCTGTAAAATAGGTGCCACTGTCATAATACAATTCAATTTTTGACCAGGTTAGTACAGTTATCATATTATATTTTTAGTAATAAAACACCCTGGAAAAGGATTTATGAAAGACTTAAAAATATTGCCCACAACTATATGTCATTCTTATGCAACAATACTTTAATTTCCTTATGATCCCTTACCAAACTATTTATATCCATTCAGAATTATAACTAATATAATCTGTATACATAAAATTGTATATTATTTTTTTCATTTAGCATTATTTTGTAAATAATATTCAGTGATCTTATATAGTAATTTTTGGTAACTATATTACACCCTATCAACATATAAAACAAATATGTAAAACACAATGCACTATCACAACGGTACTATTGGACATTTAAATTATGTGAATTTGGTTTTTCTGCATAACTGATGCTTTTATTTTTTTATTTTTGAAAGCAGGATTTATTGAGAGGACAGAAAAGCTCCCACAGTGGGAGGGGACCCGAGGGGGTTGCCCATAACTGATGCTTTTAAATAACTTAGCACCTTTCTTTCCTTTCTTTTTTTTTGTTCTTCTTAATTATTTCTAATGTATGAACTCCCAGGAATCAGAATAAAAGATCATGGTACATAGGAACATTTTCATAACTCTTGGTATGAACTGCCATACCTCATGAGTGACCTCAAAGCAGATTCTAAATTGTCAAATTCATTAAACTTTATATTTTAAACCAAGAACGTTAACTACATGAAAACTGGCTGCTGGTGTACTCCCAGGTTTAGCAGATTGCTTTTGGAAAAGGGTCTGGGTACGAGAGAGAGCTCTCAGAACTCACTAAAATAGCCTTTTGGAAAAGTTCATGTGCTTAATGTGTGGACCTCTCTGTCTCCAGGCTTTTGATCACAGCTCTGGAGAGGTGGAACTCCAACCTTTTCAACAGCATTTGGGGAAAAAAACTATAAAAACTTGCAATCTTCCATGGTGGAGTCCTAAAATAACTGGTATTGTTTCCTCCACTCACTTCTCACTCTATAGGGCAAACCCTCTTCTAAACCCCTAACCAAGAGCAACTAATGGATTTAGATGATGGGATTAATTAATAAAGTATTTAATTTTGCCTATATACAAACAGCCTTAAAGAAAGATGATCTCTTGTCACTTCTATTTAATAGTGTACTAGAGATTCTAGCCAGGACAATTCATTCAAAAAAAGAAACAAAAGCATTCAAAAAGAGAGAAGTAAGCCTATCTCTAGATGGCGTGATCTTGTACATAGAAAATCCTAAGAAATCCACTAAAAAAAATACTAGAACTAATACATGAGTCCAGCAAAGTTGCAGGGTATAAGATCGATATATAAAAATCTAGCAATAAACAATCTCAAAAGCTAAGAAAATAATTGCATAAAAGAATAAGAAATTAGTAAAACACTTTTAAAAATTTTAAATCTGAAAACTATAATAGCTAAATGAAATTAAAGACTTAACTAAATGTCATATTCATGCCTCATGAGAGTTAACATTGTTAAGATAGCAATTATCTCAGAAAATGATCCACAGATTCAATGCCATCTTATCAAAATTCTAGTTGCTGTCTTTGCAGAAATTGGCAAGCAGATTCTAAAATTCATATGAAAATGCAAGGGGGACCGGGCGCAGTGACTCAAGTCTGTAATCAATCCCAGCACTTTGAGAGGCCGAAGTGATAGGATTGCCTGAGCTCAGGGGTTCACGACCAGCCTAGACAATTTGGTGAGACCTCATCTCTACAATAAATCAAAAAAATTAGCTGGGCATGGTGGCATGTACCTGTAGTTCCAGCTACTTGGAAGGCTGAGGCAAAGGATCATCTGAGTCCAGCAAGTCGAGGCTGCAGTGGCCTTGAGTGTGCCACTGCACTCCAGCCTGGGCAACAGAGTGAGATTCCAATTCAAAAAAAAAAAAAAGAAAAGAAAAAGAAAATGCAAGGGACCCAAAACAATCTTGAAAAAAAGATTAAGTTGAAGGAGACACATGTTCTCACTCACAAGCGGACCCTGAAAAATTATCATAAAACTATAAGAAGGGAATTGGCAGTAGTGGAAAACTGCTGGGGCGGGGGCGGGGGGGACACACACCTCATCAATAAGCGTACCTGATCTCAAACCAGGTGAAGTGGGGACCAAGTGAGGCCCAAACTTTACCTACACAATGACCATTTGTATATCTAAGCCTGAATTGTACCCTACATCTTTAAAAAAAAAAAAGTTGGAAGATACACCCTTCTGATTTCAAAGCAGCAATCAAGACTACGTGGCACTAGCATAAGAATAGATACATAAATTAATGCATTAGAATTGAGAGTCTGGCCAGGCTCGGTGGCTCAGCCTGTAATCCTGCGCTTTGGGAGGCCGAGGTGAGTGAATTGCCTGAGCCCGAGGGTTCAAGACCCGCCTGGGCAACTTGGCAAGACCTCATCTCTACAATAAATCAAAAAATTTAGCTGGGTGTGGTAATACGCGCCTGTAGTTCCAGCTACTTGGAAAGCTGAGGCGGAAGGATCGCCAGAGCCCAGCAGGTTGAGGCTGCAATGGCCGAGAGCGTGCCACTGCACTCCAGTCTGGGTAACAGAGTGAGACTCCAACTCAAAACAAAAAAAAAAGAATTAAGAGTCTGGAAGTAACCCCACAAATTTGCAGTCAATTGACTTTCAATAAGGATGTCAAAATAAATCAATGGGGGAAAAATAGTCTTTTCAACAAATGCTGCTGGACCAACTGGATATCCAGATGCAAAAGAATGAAGTTGGATCTCTACCCTATACCATATATAAAAATTAACTCAACATATAGACCTAAATGTAGTAGGTAACACTATAAAACTCAAAACATAGGTGTAAATCTTCATCACTTTGCATTAGGCACTGGTTTCTTAGATACAAGAGCACAACCAACAATGGAAAACATAGATAAATTAGGTTTCACTAAAATTAGAAACCTTTGTGCTTCAAAGAACAATATCAAGAAAGTGAAAAAATACATGGAATGGGAAAGAAAGTTGCAAACTACGTATCTGACAGGGAACTTATGTCTAGAATATCTAAACAACTTTTACAACTCAACAATTTTAAAAAGCATTTAAAATGGTCACAGGATCTGACTACATATTTCTCCAATGAAGACGTACAAAAAACCCATGAAAAACTGCTCAACCACATTAGTCATTAGGAAAATGCAAACAAAAATCACAATGAGCTGGGCATGATGGCTCATGCCTATAATCCCAGCACTTTGCAAGGCCGAGGTGAGAGGACTGCCTGAGCCCACAGGTTCGAGACCAGCCTGGGCAACTTGGCGAGACCTCATCTCTACAATAAATCAAAAAATTAGCCAGGCACCATGGTGCATGCCTGTGGTTCCAGCTACTTGGAAGGCTGACACAGAAGGATCACCTGAGCCCAGTAGGTTGAAATTGTGGTGGCCATGAGCGTGCCATTGCACTCCACCCTGGGAGACGGAGTGAGACTCCAACTAAAAAATCACAAATAGATAGCACTTCACACTCACAAAAATGGCTATAATAAAAAAGACAAGCCGGGCTTGGTGGCTCAGCCTATAATCCCACGCCTTTGGGAGGCTGAGGTGAGTGGATTGCCTGAGCCTGAGGGTTCGAGACCCGCCTGGGCAGCGAGACCTCATCTCTACGATAAATCAAAAAATCAGCCGGGTGTGGTAGCGCACGCCTGTAGTTCTGGCTGCTTGGAAGGCTGAGGCGGAAGGATCGCCGGAGTCCAGCAGGTCAAGGCTGCGGTGGCCGGGAACGGCCACTGCACTCCAGTCTGGGTGACAGAGTGAAACTCCAACTGGAAAAAAAAAAAAAAAAAAGACAAGCCTACCCTGGATATACTGGGTGGTTGGTTCCAGATAACTGCAAGAAGCATATATGGCAATAAAGTGAGTCACAAACATTTTCTGGTTTCCCAGTGCACATAAAAGTTATGTTTATATACTGTACTGTGAAGAAAGTATATAGTAGTCTATTTAGTGTGCAATAGCATTGTCTAAAAAAGTGTATATACTTCTTAAAAATACTTGTTTGCTAAAATTTTAACTATCACCTGAGCTTTCAGTGAGTCTTAATCTTTTTGTTGGTGGAGAGTGTTGCCTCATTGTGGATGGCTGCTGACTGAACAGGGTAGTGGTTGCTGAATACTAGGGTGGCTGTGGAAATTTCTTAAAATAAGGCAATAATGAAGCTTGCCTCATCAACTGACTCTTTCACAAAAGACTTCTCTGTAGCATGTGG